ATGGGGATGATCACGCAGTCAGAGTGTTTTGGGAGTCACAGAGACCTTGAATTCGGCCCTGATTCAACCTTGTTATATGGATTAGATGACAAGGTCATCTAAAGGGGTGTGTTGAATGGCGCGCAAGCCACCGTGGCGTTCAGGGAGGTGGCAGTGCACCAACAAGGCCAATAGGGCATTTTTAGGCCACTTAGCGCACAGCAGGATTTTCACACAGACACAGTAACAAGGCTGATTACACCAGAATATATGTTTTCACCCATCTAAAAGCCTGCATGCTCTGTTTGACAGGTACTTCCTGAGACTAGATGGATATCCGCGCCCAGAGCATTCACTATTGCGTCCTTACTAACCTTAGGATGAACAGTTTGGCGTGGGGAAGTCTTTTGCAAGGATGCCGCGCGGTCTCGTCCTGTTAACTGGTCTTTCATTGTCTGTAAGGACTCATGATGGTCTCCGGCCCATATAGCCAGCACTTGGGGGCGACGTAGTATCCTCTGTGGGCGTTTCTCTTGATCTTCCCACTGTGAACCCTCTGGAGCATGTCCTGCTGGGCCTGAGGATTGATAGCCCGTTGCCTTAACCACTGGCGAGCTGGGTTGGTGATGTCGGTCTTCCAGTTGGTAAGGAAAGGTAGTTCCGGTGGGAAGTATAGGCGGTTCCGCCAGCAGTCTGGTAAGAGGTTGTGAATAACCAAAAATCGCTTGCCAACAATAAGGTCAAAGTTCTTGCTGGGCCCAAACTCTGTTTCCAGGATAGGGGCTTCCCGGAAGGTTCTTCCCTGAATCTGGAAGTTTGCTGCAACCGCTGTGTTAACAATTTGTGAGTGTCCTTTACCAAAACCATTCAGGGTGGCGGGCTCATCAAAATGTCTTTGAGGGAGTTCCCATTGTTGAGCCCTTTGGAGGGCTCATGATTGAACGGCTGCCTAAAAGATAAACCTCTGCTCCGGTATCAATCAAAACTTTCACACGCACTGCAATTCCATTCCATCGGATGGTTGCAGTCATCATAAAGGTACTGCCGCCAATCAAGCCAGAGAGGTCTGATCGAAGTGATGGAATTTCAAGGGAGTGGTGAGCCAGTTGATTAATAGTACATTGGAGGCCTAGGTGAGAGACTTTCCCTAGGCCTTTGAGTTTTCTAACTGGCTGTCAGAAATAACATCCTGGGTCAGACCAAAAGGGGTCTCATTATCTTCTTCCAGAAAATGTACATGAGGAGTTCCTTTCTTTGGATAACTTGGGAGCAATATGACCCTCTTTGCCACACAAGTAGCATGTAATGCTTTCTGTCTTGTGGGGTGTGTGTGATCGGTCAATGTGCTTCCTTTCAGGGGCTGCAGAGAGACAAGGAGTCTTCTGATCAGGTGATGCTCTTGCTGGTTGGAAGGTAGTGTCAATTTCTTGATTGGACAAAGCTTGGGTTGGTAGGCTTCTAATGAACTGCTGGGGTCCAGGTGCCACAATGATGGTATGGCAAGAGAAGCTTTTAAGAAGCTTTGGCGCTGCTTCTTGACTCGTTCAATCTCTGCAAGCTGTTGAGCATTGCTAGAACAGATGTTCCGAAATTGGTTAAAAGAAATATTAGAGTCAAGGTAAGAAGCCATTACTTGTATCCTCAGGGGTGGTGTCAGCTTTCGGTTCAGTTCATACTTCCATTCTATCCGGGACAGGCCTGCCTTACTGGCTAAGAGAACCCATGTGGAACAAAAGGAATAAAAGTCTTGCGCCAGTTCTATCCACAGATCATAGAGCTGATCTCTGGCTTGAGCAGCTACGTCAGGATTGCTGTAAGAGGACCGGAAAAGGTCATACACCTCTTCAATGATAATAAGTGACTCAGCATTCTCTTCAAAAATGAATGGTTCCAATATTATAATTGTATTACCTTCTATTAGCGTATAAAGCCAGTCAAACTTTAATTCTTTTGTAATAAAGAGCCACCAGTTGGTCCATAGCTTGCATTAAGTATTGTTCTTCCACTGTTCAAAGGTCGGGTTTTGACCGTTACTCAGCTTTGCAGGGTCCGCCAGCTTGATAGAATGTCGCATGGCATTTGAGGTTGATGCCATAGAAGCTGGGATCGTTGTGTGTAGAGAACCTGTTTCCAAAGAAGGAAAGGCTCGTTCTTCTTGTGGTGCGCTGACATGCACAGACTGTCGTTCTGTTGTGTGTCTTGGTGGCTCAGACCTCAGGATCCGGGTGTGTAGTTCGGTTTGCAGTCTGGCTAGCTGTTCTGGCGTAAGCGTATCCAGGTTGAAGAGCAAGGGGTCGTTTGATCGGCCCAGAGCACCGCTCATGATTGGTGCCATGGGCTGGGTCTGTGGGTCCTGGGATGTGATCCTGGAGGAAGATGGAGATGATGAAGCGTTTGAGGGAGATTAGCTGTGTGTCAAAGCGGCCTTTGATCGCGTGTTTGGCTTGCTCTGGCCCCCTCGTACCTTGGTTCTCTGTTTCTTTGGGGGAAGGTTGTTGGTATTGGGGGATGTTTGGATAGGTTGAGCTGTTCTTCCAGTCCCTTCAGAACTATCCTGATGTTCTGGAATAATAATGGTACTCATCGTCACAGTGTGTTGGACGGAATCAGTGGTAATAATAAGTGGGATAATAAAGTCTTGGGATAGATGGGTGTTTGGAGACACTACACCTGTCACTGCTAGAGGCAAAACTCCTTTGCAGTGGTGATTTAAAGACAAGGCTTCTAATCTGGTATGGGCTAGTCTTGATATTATGTCACGGCGAGCGTACTGAGGAGCTGGCACATGGCCGGCAGCAAGCAGCTATTACTCTATTAACGAGAATATCAAGACTAGAGAGGAAAGGAAGAGAGAGAGAGATAGGTACAGTGGGAGGTTGCCCCTTTAAGGGGATCCTCTAGTCAGATCCTTCCCCTATTGGGAAGTATCCGCTTGTTATGTAGGAAGGTCTGTACAGGCCGTCACAGTGGTGGTATCGGAAAAAAGAAGCCCTCGAGCAAAGGGATTGGCATGAAAGAAGGGCTAAGAGCAAATCAGAGTCAAGTGACTACGATTCGGATGGATCTGGTAAAAACACCGCAGAAAGCGACGATGACACTGATCTTGACGTCTGAATCGCCTCATTTGGGGTCAAATGAGGTTTTGGAAGAGGGGAGTACTGTCAGGAAGCACATTCTGGGAACAAAGGAACCATTCATATACATATACATGGCCCCCAGGCCTGACTAGTATTGTAGCCCTCTGCAGAACAACATACATTCTATCAGCTTTTCCTGAAGGACCAGATGGATGACCCCAAGGTCATACCGCCGCAACAACGGGGATGGGCCCGTGAGCGGGACTGACTGTACTTATTATCTTGAGACCTCCACAACCCTGCGATACAGAGGCTCTGGGAGGCGTGGTTTGCACTACTGAGGAGCTACCCCCCACGTTAAATACAATCAATCAATCAATCAACATACATTCTATCCCCCCCTTATGGTTGGCCTTCTGACACTGTGCCAAATCGTCCGCCTTGGGTAAGACTCGTTCCATTCCTCAATCATAGTGTCAAAGTCCCCTATATCATATCTTGGCTCTGAGCACCAACGATAAGGTCCATCAAGTGCCATGCTGGGCACAGTGTAGGAATGGTTGAAGTCGATGATTTTAACACCTAGGTAATTAATCTCCTTGACGTCTCTGAGGACGATGCCGAGACCATGGAAGTCGTACAAGTCGTCCACCATCTGTGGAACCATCTTGGGCTTGAATTGTCCACAAGTCTGCACGTCCACGTATTCCTTGACCAACGCCATGATCGGTTGGGCTTCCAACACTCTTTCATACTCCCCCAATCCACTGTTAAGGTTGTCCAGGATGAGCTGCTTATTCTTCTTCAAAAGGTACTTGATTTCTTCGTCACTTAAACTTTCGTCGCTATCAGAGTCAGTGACCCCCTTTGACTGCAGGCTTTCATCGTGAGATTGATCGTCAATGAGCTGCTGATGCTTCTCCAAAAGGTCCTCCAATTCCTCGTCGCTTTCATAGTCCGGGGGGACCTCGATGATGCCCCTGACTTTTGGGACGCCTCTCAAATCGGTCTCTGCGCTTATCCAAGGATCCGGCCAGAACCCCTTTGACTGCAGGATTCTATCGTGAGAATGGTCAAGAGTGAGATAACCATAGCACACTTCACTGCCAAGTCTTCTCGATGACACTCCTTGAGTCTGCCATAAGCTCGACACTCGGCAAAGAAGGGTAAAGTCTGGTACTCCCAATCTGCCGGTCTCAGCCCACTCTTCGCGTTCACGTTATTCTCATTGAGGTTGGGCCTCCACGACGGTCCTGGATACTGTCTACTTGATTTCTGTGAGAAGTTGAACTGTGACGCGTTAGCCTAAGTCCGATGTGACCATTAGGCGAATAGATGCTGACTAGCTTCAAGGCATAGATTTTGTCATTAATTGACACCTTCCATACATGGGATGCCACTCTTTTACCCGCGTGTTTGATGAAATCTATTGCTGGCGCACAGTCCCCACCCGCGAAGGAGAGAAGCTGTGGACCTTCTATCGGGGGAAGCGCGGCCATAGCTGAGGATTACGTCGGATGCTTGCCCAGCTATCGATGGATGTCGCACGAGCTTATTGCTAAAAAGAAGGAACATGGCGTGTGGTCATGCTTGTCCCTGGTTTTCTTTGTATGGCGGGTTCAATGCCTCGCTCTTTGTACTGTCAGTCAAGGCGTGGTCGATGTTGGTAAGAGAAAGAGTGATACATTACAAGTTGACTCGTAGGCCGGAACATTCTTAATCCGAAAGAGCCCAGCTTGAAGCCCCGCGCTGCTCTCCACTCTCAGCAATCCATGTTTCCTCAACCTCACGACCACCACTTGCAGTATCAATGTGAAGACAAAGGCAAATTCAGATTATGAAGCGCTGACAGCTGTTACAAGTTGTTTGTAATGTAGTCCATTGCTTGAAGAGTGATCAATGTATCGACAAGTCCAAGTAAACGTACACCCATCTCTCCAGTCCCTATTCCTCTTTACCCGTTTCTTCATCCGCCGCCACCACTTTCACGGTAACCAGCCTAGAGCCTTTCGTCACTATCCCAGCCAGTTCATCGATGCTGTTCGTGCTCCACATGACAAGCAGTGGTAGGTTAACTTGAAGATAGGCACTGATCCAGTTCCTCAACTCGACACCAACAAGCGAGTCAACGCCGTACGAGTCCAAACTCCGCGCTGAGATGATTTCATCGGGTCCAAGGGCGAGTATTGTGGCCAGTTGCTTGACAATCGCTCCGCGGACAGTGTCTAATGCCTCCTCGTGAGTTGACGCGGTCCGAAGAATCGACCCAACGTCGTCAGCAGCACCGGCCGTCTGCCTTCCAATTTGATTCTCCCGTCCGAGGTGTGCAAACTTCTTGTCGTTCGTCCAGTACATCGCCTCGAGTCCACGCTCGGTACCAGAAGGCACCAATCCGATCGACGACTGGCAGTAACCCGTTTCATTCCGGAGAACGTGGCCCAGATGGGACAAGAATTCGGCAATAGTGACGTTGCCCAGGCCATTCCGGCGCAGGGTCGCCGCCACCTCTGGGTTCTCACTGACGTAGCCCGCCTCGATGACAGCACCGACGTTTATCGAGTAGGCCGCCAAACCTAGCCGCTGGCGGTAGTGAGCTATTCCGTCCTGGAAAGAGCAGGCTGCGGCGTAATTGCTCGAGCCGATATTGCCAACAACGGACACCACTGAGGAGAGCATGATAAAGAAGTCCAGGTCAGACGGTAGAAGGGTGTGCAAGTTCCACGTGCCTCGTATCTTCGGACTGGTAGCTTTGCACCATTGCTCCACCGTCATGTCATCCAGAAGAACGTCATGGAGGACCATGGCAGCCTGTATGAGCCCGCGGATACGTGGCATTGTGTCCCGAAGGTTGGCCAATGCGCGGTCCAACGAGTCTTCCGACGTGACATCGCACTTGTCGACCCGCACAGTGACTCTCGAAGATCCTAGTCTGTCTAGGAAGCTTCGGGCTTCCGAGTCGACGTGGGCCGATCGGGAGAAGATGACGATATGGCGGGCACCTTTCTCTGCCAGCCAGTCGACTATCCTTCTCCCTAGACCTCCCAGGCCCCCAGCCACGATATAGGTCGCATCCGAGTGGAGCTGAACTGGCTCAGGCCTTTGTTCGACAACCTTTTTCACCCAATGTCAGCATCAAACCTTTGCAGGACTTCCAAAGGACGTCTTGGGCACCACTTACCTGAACCTTCTGCTCTGGCTCCACCGTCAAGATCACTTTACCCGTATGCTTATCAGCCTGGATTAGGCGGAAGGCTTCCCCAATCTGAGAAATTGCGAACTTTGTCAGTTTGACGGGTTCGACGGCCCCGCTAGCGAATAGGCCCATAACCTCGTGCAGAAGTTTATGTGCTAAACTCTTCCTGGTGACGATAACATGTGCCAGGTCGACGTAGACGAACGTGATGTTGTTGAGCAGGAACTCCATGGGCATCAGCGCGTTTTCCATCAGGTCCTTCCGCCCGATCTCGACGAACCGCCCAAACGGAGCAAGCGAGTTGCACGACTCGCGGAACATCTCTCCGCTGAGGGAGTTGAGGACGACGTCCACCCCGTTGCCGCCGGTCAGGTTTTGGATTTTCTCGCGGAAGGCGGTGGTTCGGCTGGAGAAGACGTGGTCCTCGGCAATGCCAAACTCCGTAACCAACAGATCTGCCTTCGCGTCATTCCCGCAGGTGACGAAGATGTCAGCGCCAATGTGACGGGCGAGCATGATGGCTGCTTGGCCGACCGCTCCGGCTGCTGAGTGGATGAGGATACTCTCGCCCTTCTTCAACTTGCCAGCATACACCAGACAGTAGTAAACCGTGGCCCAGACAATGGGTATCGATGCCGCGGCAACTAGGTCCATCTCCTCGGGTATGACATGAGAGCAGTCTCCGTGGACGATGGGGTAGTTCGTATACGATTGGGAGTATAGAGCGCAGACGCGATCTCCGGGTTTGAATCTGCCCCCCATGTTAGACCCAACCTCGAGCACGACTCCGCTGCAGTCATTCTGCATCTGAGTGATGCCCTCGAGCTGGCCCGAGGCAATGAGCACGTCCTTGAAGTTGATACTTGCGGCGCAAAGCTGCAACTTGATGTGGTCGGGATCGAGCGGACCGGCCATCCCAGGGTTATCCACCCATCGTATGGTGTCGAGCACACCAGGAACGGCTAGCTCTGCCGACATGACTCTGCTGTTCATGAACGGTGCCTCCTCCGGTTGCGACTCGCCCAAGTCCCGACGGATATGGCTGTCGAGACCTGGCTCTGGTCGGACGCGGGAGACGAACAACTGGCCCTCCCTCTCCACAAATTCAAGCTCGACATCGCCGTTGGAAAGTCCAAGATCGGCCGTGGGGCTGTTCAGAATGGTTACCAGGGGCTCAAGACACTCCTCGAGGTCGCTCCCGATCTCTAGGCTGATGAGGCGCACAGAGGTATGCTCCTGGCGTATCGATCGGCAGAACCCATAGACCCAGTCGCCACCCGGTCGGTCTTGTTTCCCATTGGCCGTGCGCGTCACGAACATGACTGCTTTGGAGCCGATAATCCTAGCCTTGAGCGCATCAAATAATTCGCCATCAACGTCCCAGGCCACACGATCGCACACCTCGGGCAGAATGATGGACAGTTTGTCGCCAAGGACAGGTGAAGATGATGCAGAGAGCTCAACCTTGCGGTCCCAAAGACGCTTCTGGAGCTTGTCCGTGAAGGTAGTCCCGAGGGACTGATCGGAGCATGTGACTACATCAATGTCCATGGGCGGCGCCGACGGAGCTGGCTCCGGATTTTCCGATACGAACACTGTAATGGTGCCACCATCGGCCACCGGGTAATCCCAAAACAAGGGCTCGTTCTGGACGAAACCCGCCTTTTGGAGTCTCTGTACCCATTCGGGGCGAGAGAGAAGGGGCGAAAGTTTTCGACCTTCGTCGTAGCCTGCCCACCAACCGGCAAAGGCACCAAACACGAAATTGTAGTATGGTCGATTCTCGGTGAGCTCCATCAGGATCAGCTTCCCACCGGGGCGAAGCAGCGCCCTGGCATTATCCAGGACGACGTCAATACGAGAAGTGGCGTGGATGACATTGCTAGCGATGACCACATCGTAGCTATGTGGTTTAAACCCGTTCGCCTCGGGGCCGTCTTCGATATTCAGGGTCTTGTACTGAACGATGTTCGCGAAGTCGGCGAGCAATTCTTGGGCCGCCGGGAAAAACCCAGGCGAGATGTCTGTGAAATCGTAAGAGGATGCCAGAACCTTGCTAGAGCTTTGCAGGGCCTGTAGGATGGGCAGAGAAGCCGATCCGGTGCCCGCGCCGATTTCGAGGAGTTTCATGTTGGGGTTCTGGCGACCGAGCCCGCCACAGTATGCCGAGATCTGAGTGATGCAGCGAGCACAGCGCTCTTCCGAGTAGAGCCTGTTTAGCAGGTTGCCCTCGGTCAGCAAGGACAGCGGGTGCACCGTCCCACGCAGAAGCTCGTTCAGTGGTGGTCCTAGACGCTTCAATGCCTGTCCCACTATGCTGTCGTCTGCCTCCGCCACGCTCAGCAAAGCGGGATCAGGCTGCTGGTCGGACAGCGTCTGCATCCAATCGAACCAGTGACGCTGGTAGCCTTCGGCTACATCGTCTGCCGATGTGGACGCTAGAGAGCTCTTGACGTAATGCAATGTCAGGGCGACCAGCGCTCGATGTTGCGCGAGAATGGACTTATCTTTGATCATTGATTTGCACATCTCGTTGATGTGTTTGTTGGTTGTCTTGGGCATGTACGTCACCCAGTCGACGACGTGGCACAGGTCCCTATTGCTCTTTTCGCCGATAGACAGGTCTGGTAGTTTCGTCGCGCTGACGCCCCACGCCTGCAGGACCATCTTATCTTGTCTCTCTTTCTCAAAGACGCCGATGTCGAAAGTGAGAAAACTCTTCGTCCTCGTCGAATGACAAGTGGCCTCTTGGAGCGGTTGGGCCGGGTCCTGCTCGGCGACAATGAGCTTCTCGATGAACGTGGGTACAACGGGTGATGTGATCTTGTCCTCGAATATCAATATCGACATCATGCTGTGGTAGAGAACAGAGTCCAGGACCGCCGGATGGATTGTGTATGGAGCGGAAGGGGTAGTGCCAGCAGCTACGAATGATGCGTTCGAGATGGACGCGCCGTCGGTGGTTCTGATGTCGGTCAGGTTGTCGAACGGAGTGCCCCAGTTGAGACCCAGGTCACCGGCCCTGTGGTAGAATTTCTTGGGTTGGATGTGCTGGGCATGGGTCGGCAGTGCGACTTGAGTGAGTGCAATGCCGTCGTCATTACTGGTAACTCGTGATTTGAGGACCACCTGCAGGAGGCCGCGGCAATGTTCGGTCCAGCTATTGTCGGTGGACGTGGTGAAGATTCGGAACTCTTGCCACAGCTTCGACGACTTTCTCGCCGACACTGGCTGCGGTCGCAGTGACAAGCTGATTTCCAGGTCGGTCTTGCCAATGTCCATGACCAGCGCCTGTGAAATGGCAACGTTCCGGAGCACGAAACGGTCAATACCGGCTTCTGGACTTCGCAGGAACGTGTCTTGTCGCGCCGCTTGGAGGGCCATGGCAAGGTATCCGGCGGCTGGGAAGATGGTCTGGCCTTGTATGACATGCCCACTGAGCCAGGGGACGTCTTTCAAATTGAGGTAGCACCGCCATCTGGGCTCCTGCGGGTTGTTGTCGTGGATGAGCGTGCCGAGAAGCTCATGGGGCAGGAATTGGCGGTTGCGGTACGCTACCGAAACTCGACTCTCGTGCCAAAACGACTTGGAATGGTCGAAAGGATACGGGGGAAGATCCGTCAGGGGCGAAGGAGGATTCCGGAAACCCGCATTCACCTTCCAGAATGCCGCAGGAGCCTTCTGTAAGTATAGGGACCGCAGCATCTCCAGCATGGAGAGCTGGGCATCTTTGCCGCGCTTCAGGGTGCCTGCGTATTGGATCTTGGTAGCCTCTCCGGCGAAAGACCGCAGAGTCTGCTTGATAGGGTTTTCCAGCTGAAAGTGGGATCCCAGTTCCAAGAGTAAGTCGACCCTTCGTGTCGCATCCTTTGCCACACATGTTTTCTTGAGGGCATCAGTGAAGCGGACTGGCGATACCAGGTTGTGCACCCAGTAGTCCTTGTTGATGGCCTGGTCTCCAAGCTCCTCGCCCGTTACCGTTGAGGCCATACTGATTTCGGACGCTGTCGCACTACCAGCGACGTCCTCGAGAGCCTCGTAGTACTTGGTTACTATCTGCAGCATCTGAGGCGAGTGATACGCAGCCCCACCAGTCCGAAGCAGCCGATTCCAGACATCTTGCTCGTCCAGTCGCTGCTTCAAGGAGGTGACCACGTCTTCGTCTCCAGAGACCGTCACGCTGGAAGGGCTGTTGTAGCAGGCGACTGCTATCCTGGTGGCAGCAGCTTGGCCGAGCTGTTCGATTGACTGCTTGACCAGCTGTGCTGAAGCTCCGACGGCCATCATGGCACCAGCGCTGCCCTTGTTCTGCATTCGCAACTCGCTGGTGAGGAGACCGCGGTGATATGACACCTTCATGGCATCCTCAAAAGATATGGCTTCGGCGCAGTACGCCGCAGCGATCTCACCGCTGGAATGGCCAATCACGGCACGCGGAATAATTCCCAGGTCCTTGAGCGCGTCCACGAGAGAAATCTGAACCGCCGTCGAGATGGGCTGGGCGATGCACGGGTCCTCCATGCGGCTCTCCTCGTGTGCTTTCAACAACTCTTCAAACAGGTCCCACGAGCTTCCGCACTGCTCCAAGCATCGTCTTGCCCGCTTCATGCTCGCCGTGAAGCACGGCCATGATCCCAATAGCCCCTTGGCCATCCGTGGATACTGCGCTCCCTGGCCACTGAAAACAAAGCCAATGCGAGGGCTCGTCTGGCGGTCGGACCGAGGTATAGGCTGTGCTGACAGTTCCGAGAGCTGGCCGACGAGATCGTCTAGCCCGGAGGCGATGATCCCGACCCTGTTCTCCAGCACTGACCTCTGCTGAAGTGTGTGTGCGAGGCGGGTCAGCAACATGTCTGTATCGACCGTGTCTGATTGGCTTTTCAGGTACTCGGCGACGCCAACTGCCATGCTCTGGCACGATCTTTCGCTGGCGGCGCTGAGAACGAACAGTTGATGCTTGGACTTGGGCTCATCAGCATCGCTACCGTTGGGCATGTGCCAGCCATTGGTGTGAAGCCCGTTGCCATTGGTGTGAGTCCCATTACCATTTGTGTGAAGCCCATTGCCATTGGTATGAAGTCCATTACCATTGGTGTGAACCCCGTTACTTAGGCTTGGCTCATCCTTCACGGAGGCGGCAGAGTCGAGGATAACGTGGGCATTGGTTCCTCCGTAGCCAAAGCTATTCACGGAAACCCTCTTGACCGAGCCAGATTCGACATGCAGTGGAATTCTGAGGTTGAGTTGCTCCAGGTCAATTTCCGGATTAGCTTTCTCGAAATTCGCCTGGGGTGGTATCTCGTTGTGTTCAAGCATCAGGACGGCCTTGATGAGACCCGTCAAGCCTGCTGCGCTCTCCAGGTGCCCAATATTCGCCTTGAGGGAGCCGATTGGGAGTGGCGAACCGGCTCCTCTCGTGGCACCGAGGATTTTTGCGATGGCTTTGGCCTCGATGGGGTCGCCAACCTTTGTGCCCGTGCCATGAGCCTCGACGTAGTCTGCGTATGGAGTCAGGCCGACCTGAGCATATGCCTTCGCAATGGCAGCGGACTGCGCCGAAGCACTCGGAACACTGATACCCTGGGTCCTGCCGTCCTGGTTGACGACAGAGTTCCGAATGACGGCACGGATTGGACAGCCCCCCTTCTTGGCAAGTGAAAGGGGCATGAGAACAACTCCTGAGCAGCCTTCACCTCTCCCATAGCCATTGGCCTCCAGGGCGCGGTGGTCGAATGAGAAGGATTGACCCTTGTTGGAAAACATTTTGAGCCGGCTCTGATAAGCATAGCGTTGGGGATCCAGCAGAAGGTTGACACCGGCCACGAAGGACGTGTCGGTCTCCCCCGAGCGAAGGCTCTGCACAGCCTGATGAAGTGCTACCAGACTAGCCGAGCAACCCGTGTCGAGGGTAAAACTCGGCCCCTTAAGATTGAAGCAATAGGAAACACGGTTCGATGCAATGGCTGAACCAACTCCCGTGACCTGGTACGTGGGTGAGGAGTCGGTGTCTCTGGTGAGAATCTCCTGGTAGTCCGAGGCCCATAGTCCGACATAAACACCAGTGTTGGACCCCGAGAGCTGCTCAATGGTAAGACCGGCATTCTCAAAGGCCTCATAGGCAATCTCGAGGACGAGTCTTTGCTGAGGGTCCATGGCCTAGATGCGGACCCACGTCGTCGTTAGTCATGGTGGTCACAATTTACGTTAACCTGGGCTACAGAAAGAACGTACGGTTGCCTCGACGGGGCTTATTCCGAAGAAAGAGGCATCAAAAGCCTTCACATCATGTTGAAGGAAGTTTCCGCCATCTGTGTTTGTCTGCTGCGTAGTCAGTAATCATGTGCAGAGCTGAGCCTATCTATTGCAGGATCTTGAGAGCTTCGTACCGTTCCAAACTTGAAGTCGGGAGAAGTGTCGTGGAAGCCTCCTTGGTTGAATCGATCTTTGGGAGTCTTTCCCCATGCCGACCGACCTTGCTTGAGCAAGTCCCACAGCTTTTGGGGGTCTGATGCACTTCCTGGCAGCCTGCAGCTCATGCCTACGACGGCGATAGGCTCCAAGTGCCCTCCATCAGCAGTTCCCGGAGAACATCCGTTCACTGTCGCCGTGCCGTTCTTGGTGGGCTTGGAATATTGTGAAGGCATGGTATCTGAAGACGGAAAGGGGTGTAAGGAGTGTAAGTGGAAGGTAAGCTTTGTTTACCCTCTCCAATGGCATCTGAAGACGAAATGAAGTGTAAGAGGAAGGGAAGCTTCGTCGTCTGCCCTTTCCCAATGGTAGCTTCAATCACGCCTCATTTATTCGGCTCCGACCTTTTGCATCCTCCGTTCCTGTCCGGGCCGAGCTGCTCACCGTCCAGATCGGCGTAATGCAGGTTAAACCAGCTTACGTGGTACGGCAGGGGATGTCAGATCATAACTTATTGAGGCGGTGAATCGCGAGTCATATTTTACCAAGACTTTAGTCCAGATCATGAACAAGCTGACCCCGGTATCCTGTAGGCGTCAGTTTAGACTCTTCGGTCGTACGAGTCTATTTGTCTTGATGAGGTATTTTGCCGAATTCGTCAAATCCTTCGCGCGTTTTACATGGTTATTGGACGATTCAAAGGCCCACGTGGCGTGGGGACCATCGGTCCGCATCTCTAGTGCATCCTTTCGGATCCTTCAAGTCGGGGGAGAACCCTGTGCGAGCCGGTGGCAGGGCTTAGCCTTACTAATTATATACGGAAAGCGGACTTTGGGATGCCGGTCTCGAGACCGGCAGGCGCCCGGCAAAATAAATGAGACGACCGTAGGTTCCCACCTAAATTCGCCTACTTCCCGATACAACCAGCGGGCGAAAAAGCTACTTGAAAATAAGCAGAAAATAGCTCATGATAGAAGATTGATTTAAAAACATGCCTATTGATTGATTGATTGTATTTATCGTGGGTGCAGTCCCTCCATAGGGCAAACCACGCCTCCCAGGGCCATTGCATCGCAAGGTTGTAGAGGTATCAGTCTAGATACATTCAGATCCGCGCACGAGCCTATCCTCGCTGTAGCGGTACTAACCTGGAGTGACCAGATGGTTTTAGTCAATACCCAAGCACAATTCCGTCAGAAAAACCTCCTATCCAGTGACAAAGCGACCCAGTGAACCTCAGTCCTCTGGTATACACATCGTTCCAATAGCCGTTCGATATATGTCGCATTGGTGGGTGAAATAGGTGTTTTATTATCTACTGGCGAGGGAAACCACAAGGGGAAAAACCTCGCAGGAGTGGGTGTTATGGAGACAAGCTGCTTGGCTATCGGGCTCTGCGATAATGGGGCCTCTCCACTGTCGTGTGCTGGTTGTCGACTCGCACAAGCCGGGTCAGAAGGGGGCCATAGCAGGATTCGAACCCACTGTTCTCGTCGCCCACCGCATAAACGAGAACACAACCAGGCGCATTTGACCCAGGACCATTGCGCCATACGGCCAACATGCCTATTGCCATATGAGAATGTACGAATGTTGTTTTGGTCGAGTTATGTTCTGTTGAAGTCAGGCGGTAGAAATCGCACCTATTCAAGGTGCTGTGGCTTATTGTGGCTGTCTCATTTCTTGAGTAGGTTGCCTGACCGGTTCTGCCGGTCTGAGGTCAGCTTCGATCTGGCTCGCTGATCTGTCTCAGCCCGAGTTCCGACGCGTACAATACTCAGGGGTTGTAGATGTTAGCGTCCTACACGGCCCACCGGATCGGGTACTTGACCATACATATAAAGTATATGAGAATTCAGGTAGCTCAGCCTATGACTCCTGCTAACGTGTCGATACAGGGTTCTTAATAGTGTGGTTTGCCAGAGTTGGAACCTCCGTAGGGGCGTGTCCCGGACTAACATCTTCTATCCCTGAGGATTGTATGATCCTGTTGGCAGTAGTAAGGCGCCCTCTCTCGGGCAAGAGATTGCGGGAGGTACCTTTCCACCATCCTTGATATAAACTTGGTATTGGAGAATAAGGCCGTCCTTGATAATTTCAGAACAACAGAATTTTCGAAGCCTGCCGCCGCCGCACATCTGTTGCATGTCATTTCTTCCTATCGTCACTGGTTTGACAAGCATACAGCAGCTTCAAACTATCAGCAACGATGAGCAACCAGAATACGATTGAGTCCCTGCTCTGCAGAGTGGCATCTCAGGTCCTGAAAAAGGACGAGTCTGAAATCGACGCGGAAAAGTCTTTTTCTGAGCAAGGAGGCAAATTCAATCCCCTGTCAGCTGTCTTCTTCGCCGCGCAATGTAGAGACCTCGGCCTCATCGTCGACATTGCCGACGTTTCGCAGTGCAAGACGATGGGTGATCTGGCGCAGAAACTGGTTCAGACCAACCCGCAGCTGCAGTCGAGCGAAGCAACTGACCGGCATTCAGTCTCAATACCCTTTACACCACTCCAGCATCTGTACAACACCGTCGGGCTGTGCCAGGCCTCAATATGCGATCTCCACACCCCAATGCCACACCGTGATGCCGTTGCAATGCTGGAGATGCTGGTTGAGAGGCACCCCGTGCTGGGAGCGTCACTTGAGGCTGATCACAAAAACCATCTCGTGTTGACGGGCACCACAACCTCTTCATCCGGGACCGTGGTTCCGTATGAGTCCGACAAGGACTGCGAATCTCGGGTCAGGAAACTTCAACTAGAGGTCTCAAAATCAAGGACACAAGTCCTGAACGTTCTCTTCTTCGGCGAGACGTCCCAGATCAAGAAAATCGGGGTGGTGGTGCCCACTGCCGCCCTTGACGCCCACTCCTGGCATATCCTTCTCCACGATATCCAGATCTATACACCCCACAGTCATCGATCTGGCTCTCAACCCCACACGTTCTTCGATTGGGTTGAGGAAGCGGAGCAAAGGACGGGACAGGGGCGCGAAGACGGACCTGCCTTGGGACGTCCCGTGGACTCAAAGCACCCGCCCCAGAGCCTCCGCGATTCAGGCGTGGTGTCGTCGTCTACATTCACTCTGAGCTTGGAGTTGACAGAATCGCTCCATAGTGAGAGATGCCACCAAACATTGCGGACAGAGGTGCACGATTTGGTATTTGCATCGCTGTCCTCGTGCATCAGACGCCACTTTCCGGGCTTGAACAGATATCTTGGGATCAGGGATGGCCGACCGAGGGACGATTGTGATGCTTGGGATACAGTGATAGGCTGCTTTGACGAGCTTGCTGAGATACCCTATCACGGTGACGGAGACGTATTGGATGTGGCCCGCAACGCCAAAGATGCGAGACGGCGCTCTCTCTTGAGCTCTGTCCACAGCGACCCGGATCACCTCAGTCTCATTTTCGACACGACGAAACTGGGATTGAAGAGCATCTCTGACGACGGGTCACAGCCATTTGATGAGGTGCCCAGGCATAACGTTGGAGAGCTCGTCGTTCAATCACTTGGCGGGCTCTACGTATTGCTGTTCTGGACGGACGCAAGATTGAGCTTTTCAGTTATGTGCGGTGCTGACGTTGGGGGAGACGCAGAGCTCAAGGCCATCTCGCAGAATTTCGTCGACCATCTCCATGACACCATCACCAGACTGACCGACAGTGGTCCACTACCTACCCTCTGCGACTTTCCTCACATATCGCTGGATTACCCGTCGCTGGATCGCTTATTCGAGCAGAAGCTTCAGCACATCGTCAAAGATCCCTTGACAGAGATCGACAACATCTACCCATGCTCGCCCATACAGGAAAACATCCTCGTTGGCAGCTCATTGGACAAGGGGGCTTACATGTGCTCTTTCACGGTCAGGGTCTCCACGTCAGGCCGCTTCGCATCGTGTGATGCTGGCAGGTGGGTTGCCGCATGGAATAGAGTTGTTGACAAGCATTCTGCCCTCAGGACCGTATTTATCGAGAGCGAAGTGCGTCAGGGCTACTTCGACCAAGTGGTACTCAAGAAGGTCGTGCCTCGGGTCGACATAGTTGAAGGCGTCGCCACGTCTTCAGCCATCGCATTCCAGCCACTGGAGGTACCTCACCACCTCACCATTGCCCAGGCCGGTCCGGGGCAATTCATTATCGTGCTGGCAATCTCCCATGCCATAACTGATGGGCATTCGGCCGAAGTCATTCTCAGCGACATGTGTGGCTACGTTGCCGGACAAGGCGGCAACGAGGAGAAGGTACTCTCCTACTCAGACTATGTCCTTGATCAGCAACTACGCTTGGAGAACACCGTGTCAGACTACTGGCCAAAGTATCTCCTGAAGACGCAGGAGACACTCCTCCCCGTCACGCGGGACAGAGCTAGTCTACATAACTTCGAAACAGTCAAATCCGTCATACCCATCAATGTGACGTCGATTGACCGACTGTGTAAACAACACAATGTCAACTTGGCCAATATCTGTCAGTTCGCGTGGGGCGTTGTGCTAAGGAGTCACCTGGGCGTCGACGACGTTACCTTTTCTTATATTTCATCAGTGAGGCACGTTCCCCTAAAGGGTATCATGACGGCCGTTGGGCCTCTGATCACTACACTCCTTTGTTCCATGAACCTAGAAGGGGACAAGAACGTCATGGATGTGGTCAAGGCTGTCAACTCCGATTACCAAGACAGTCTATCGCACGAAGCAGAACTTTCAGACGCGATATCTACTCGTCGGTGGAGCAATACAGTCATGTCTTTCCGCCGGCGGCTGGTTCAGGATGACGAGAGCCTCCCGGGCTTGAGCTGCAAAATTGTCCAGGGCTTGAGCCCAACGAATGTAAGTACGAATCCCAAAAAGTATGACTTACATAACTTAACCTGGCCCGCAGTACGACGTTTCTCTCATCATATCAGCTGGCCAATCTGATATGGAGGTCAATCTGGACTACTGGGCTTCCCGCGTGGATCCAGATCAGGCCCAAGGTCTCCTGCAGAACTTCCAGGAGGTGTTGCACTCTATCTTTCGAGATGTCGGCACCACCGTGGGGGGCCTCGATCTGATCAGCAACGAGCAAAAACAGCGGATACTGGAAAGAAACGCCCGTGTCCCGGAGGCCTTGAACCGGTGCGTCCACGAACCCATCGACGACCGTATCCGGGATCAACCCACGGCGTTAGCCATTGACGCATGGGACGGAAGCATGACATATGGAGAACTGCACCAGAACGCCTCCCATTTAGCGCAGCATCTGACGAACATCGGCACTAGGCCAGAAATCCCAGTTGGCCTGTGTATGGACAAGTCCAAATTCGTTCTGGTCGCCATTCTCGCGATTCTACGGGCTGGTGGCGCCGTGGTGCCCATTGGGACTGGGGAACCTATTGCGCGCGTGGAAGCGATCCTCGCTGACTCGTCTCCAATCGCCATAATTTGCGATGGGAAACAGGTCGAGCGATTGTCCGGCCTGGGCACACCGCTCCTTAACGTTGGTTCGATAATCGCGGACGAGTCGCCAAGAGCACCAAGAGCCGCGCAGAAAGCACAGCCCAAACCAGAAAACACGGCCTGGATCTTTTACACCTCGGGCTCCACGGGAACACCAAAGGGAGTGCTAGTCGAGCATAATGCTCTGGCTACCAGTATGCACGCCCACGGCGCCGCATTAGGCATGTCCCGTGAGACCAGGGTGCTTCAGTTTGCAGCCCACACATTCGATGTCTCCCTGCAGGAGCTATGCACTACGCTCGTTTACGGAGGCTGCATCTGTATACCCAATGAACAGGACCGCGTCAACGATCTGGCGGGAGTCGTGAGCCGACTACGGGTCAACATGTTGGCCCTCACCTCGAGCGTGGCATCCACAGTGACGCCTGAGGACGTTCCCCTCGTTGAGACGCTGGTGCTGTTCGGGGAAGAAGTCAAGGCCAGCGTGGTAGAGGCCTGGCTGGGTAAAGCCATCATCTTCAACGCCTATGGGCCGACCGAAAGCTCCATATTCGCCAGTGCAAGCAAGCCATTTCAGAGCGTGGACGACCTAGCGAACATCGGATTCCCGTTGAACGTGAACCTCTGGGTTACCGACCCGCAGAACCCAGGGCGACTGTGTCCCCCGGGGGCTGCGGGTGAGTTGTTGATCGAGGGCCCGCTGCTGGCACGGGGATACCTGAACAATGAAGAAAAGACTTGTGCCGCGTTCATTCGTGACCCAGAGTTTTCTCGCCTTCTGGGCCTTGAACCGGGTAGACGCTTCTATCGGACAGGAGACATTGTGCGCCAGAACAGTGACTTCTCCATGACCTATGTCGGTCGGAGAGATACGCAGATCAAAGTTCGAGGTCAACGACTTGACGTTGCCGAAGTCGAGCATTGGACAAGCAAGTCGTTCGACGGTGCACTCAGGGCTGTTGTGGGTCTTCTGCCCGCCGTCGAAGAAGACGCAGCTTCACCGGGAGGAGGCTTTTTGTTTGCTGCCGTTGAATTCACAGAGAAGACCGGCTTCGTCCCCCCTGGCAAAGAAGACGTCCTACCCCCCTCCGAAGGCCTTCGAGAAGCTTTCAGTCAGCTGCGCAGCACGCTACAGGCTAAACTTCCCTCTTACATGATCCCCACCTTCTACATTCCTTTTAGACGGATACCCCTGACAGCCTCCACCAAGACCGACCGCAGGCTGGTACGCCGACTCATCAGCGAGCTGCGCACAGTCGACCTGCAGAGTTACGTCTCGGACGCCTCGAGTGATGATGGCGAAGTGCGCGGTGAGACTGCCCAGAAGCTACAGGCTCTGTGGGCAACGGTGCTAGGCGTGAGCAGCAGTTCGATCAAGGCGGGCGACCATTTCCTGTACCGAGGAGGTGATTCCGTCTCGGCCATAAAGCTGGTGGAAGCAGCCAGGCGCAAACACTTGAAGATGACGGTCTCAGATGTGCTGATCTTTCCCAGACTTGAAGACCTTGCACGGGTCCTCGATGAACGCACCGCAGCCACAGAGGACAACTCGGGCCAAGCAGAAGAGCGACATGATCCTCCTCCTCCTTTCTCTCTGTGGCAGACATCATCCAGTGACAGAGACACGGAACTTGCAGACATCGCCAGCCAGTGTGGCATGAGCACCACAGACATTCAGGATATATATCCCTGCACACCACTGCAGCAGGGCATGCTGGCTGCCACGCAGCAACGCCCCACGGCATATCTCGTGCGCCAGGTGTACGCTCTTTTCGAGTCCCTCGATATCGGGCGCTTCCGCAAGGCATGGCAGGTCCTGATTGACAAGGCCCCATTGATGCGGACCCGTATCCTGCTGGGACAGCGTTCAGGGTCCTTGCAGGTGCTGTCAAAGACGGTTCCATGGCACCACCATGACAACTTGGAGAAGTACGTGGCAGAGGACCAAGCCCGCGTGATGGCCGTCGGTCAGCCGCTAATGCGTTTCGCCTTGGTACATGAGGCCTCCAGCGGCGCCCGTTACTTCGTCTGGACAGCTCATCACTCCGTATACGACGGCTGGGGTGCTCAGCTGATCTACCGCCGATTGTCAGCTCTTTATCTGCATGATGAGATACCTCCTGCCGTCCCTTTTACGAGGTTTATTGAATACTTGCAACGGGGTGACCTTCGTGGCGAAGAGGCTGCGTCCTTCTGGCGTCGCCAACTCGAAGGAGATGTGCCATCGGCATTTCCCTCCATGCCATCCTCGTATTATCAGCCTAAACCTGCCGCCGTTCTTCACTCCGAAGTTGACACGTCTGTAGCCGCCTCTTCGACGCCCGGTTCGTCCCGGTCCCTGGCCAACGTCCTCAGGGCTGCTTGGGGTATGACTCTGAGCCAGTACTTGAACACGGGCGACGTTGTCTTCGGAGCGACGCTCTCTGGCAGAAACGCCCCCGTCGCCGAGATCACCGAACTTATCGCCCCCACGATAACGACTGTTCCTGTTCGGATTCACGTCGATCAGGACGAGAAAGTTGCCGCATACCTCGAGAGAATCCACTCGCAGGCAGTAGAGACGATACCTTTCGAACACACGGGGCTGGAAGACATCAGGCGTCTTGCGCCTGACCTCCAGCCTGCTACCGATGTCAAGCACGTTCTTGTCATTGAGCCTTCATCGATCGGAGCAGGAGAGGAGGCCATCCAGTCCGCCGGTATGCACTTGGTAGGCACCGCGCTCGACGCGTTCGACACCTTTGCCCTCACTGTCCAATGCCAGCTCCCCAGTGAACAGGGAGGTCTGGTCAAGGTTGAGGCACGTTTTGATCGCCATGTCGTGAGCGAGTCGCAGATGGCAGTGCTTCTCCGGCAGTTTCAGCATTGGGTGTCTCAGTTCCTCAATGAGGCAAACCGCGACAGGCGCCTGGGCGGTCTGGAGGGGGTTACCTCTACCGATCTGGCCCAGATCAAGAGCCGAAATGCTGAGATTCCCGTGCCTGATATCGCCTGTCTGCACTACTTGGTCCAATCTGTGGGCCGCGAGCAACCAACTGCGCCGGCAGTCTGTGCCTGGGACGGTGACTTCACCTATCACGAGCTTCAAGGTCAGGCGAGGAAACTTGCAAAATACCTTTCCAACCTCGGAGTCGGTCCGGAGGTTAGGGTGGGATTCTTTATGGACAAGTCCAAGTGGGTACCCGTGTCCATTCTGGGCATATTGGAGGCCGGAGGAGTGGTCGTCCCGCTGGGCGCGCGTCTCGAAGCCGTAGTGGAGAATTGCCAACCGCAGATCATCCTCACCAATGTAGCCCACACCGAGACACTCGCTGGACTGGGACCCTCCGTCGTCGTCGTGGACGAGGCATTGCTGGCCAGCATCCCGACACCCCAGGGAGACGCGCCAATATGCCCAGCGCTGACACCTCACCATCCCGCATGGATCGTGTATACGTCCGGAAGTACAGGGTCGCCCAAGGGAATCCTTCTGATACATTCCGGCCTTGCGACGAGTCTTCCAGCAATGGGAAGAGCAACGAGGTGGTCTCCCAAGTCCCGCGTGCTCCAATTCGCGGCTCACACGTTTGATGTCACTACCCAGGAGATCATGAGTACCCTCGTCTTCGGAGGGTGCGTCTGTATTCCCTCTGAAGACCAACGCATCAACTCGCTGTCACAGACCATTACGTATCTTAACGTCAACACGATTGTGATGACCTCCACGGTAGCCTCCACGATTGACCCGGCCGATGTGCCGTCCGTGACGCAGTTGCAGCTCGTCGGTGAGCAGGCCAAGCTGAGTGTTGTAGAACGCTGGCTCCCCCACGCCGAGATTATCAACATCTATGGCCCGTCCGAGTGCTCTGTTTACTCCTCGTGCAACCTACCTATGCGAACCATTGAGGACGCGCCCAATGTCGGCTTTCCGCTGGACGCCTGTAACTTCTGGATTACTACCGCCACAGACCATAACCGACTGTGTCCCATCGGCGTGGCAGGTGAGCTACTCATCGAGAATGCCTGGGAGGCACAGGAATACATCAACCTCCCAGAGCTGACGGCAAGATCCTTTGTGGTCGAACCCGCATTCATCAAGCAACTCGGGCTCGGTGGCAGGGACAGACGCATGTATCGAACCGGCGATCTCGTGCGGCAGAATCCCGACGGGACGTACGTCCATCTCGGCCGCATAGACAGCCAGGTCAAGTTCCGCGGACACCGGGTGGACCTGGGTGAGATTGAATATTGGACCACTAAGCTTCTGAATGGAGTACACACGGCTGTCGTCGATCTGGTCGATCTGCAGGCTCGCAAGGGCGCTGGTGTTCTTGTGGCGGTGTTCGACTTTGACGAAGATTGTGACTTGTTTGACCCCGAGGACACAGAGGACATCAATGGTGTCATAATCCTGGCCCCTTCGATCAAACTCCAGAAAGCCTTGTGCGGCTTGAAGGACGCATTGGCTGAGAAGCTCCCGAGCTACATGGTGCCGACCGACTATCTGCCCTGGGCAAAGGTCCCCCTGAATCCATCCGGCAAGACGAACAGGTACGCAGTGCGACAATTTTTGACAGGTCTCGAGTCAGGCTCGTCTCTGTTGCAACGCTACCTAGCCGATGACGGGACGAAGGAAGACCCCCAAACGGAGATGGGTAGGAAACTACGGCAGCTATGGGCTGAGGTTCTCTCCATTGATGTCGCCTCGATCGGCGCGCAGGACCACTTCACACGCCTCGGCGGCGATTCTTTGGCAGCCATGAAGCTCGTCGCGGCTGGCCGGCAAGTCGGGCTTCACCTGACGGTCGCATCGATATTCACGTATCCGATCCTGGACGAGTTCGCCCAAGTACTGGGAGAGGAACAGCAGGTGGGCACAGAGAGGACTACTAGGGAGGACCCTGTCCCATTCGAGTTGTTGGGGATGCAGACCATCACAAGCTCCGACTTCGAGTCCCGACTCGCAGACATCGCTGTCCAATGTCAAGTGGCTCCCCAACAGATCGAAGATGTATACCCATGCACGAGTATGCAAGAAGCACTCTTCGCTATCACCGCGAGACAACCAACGACATACACATATCGCCAAGTGTTCCAAGCAAGTCAAGACGTCGACGTGGCGAGGTTCCAGGCGGCTTGGGAGACGGTAGCCAAGGCATTGCCAATCCTGCGGACTCGAATCGTACTGGACAGCGATAGCGGGTTTCTCCAAGCAGTGGTGGACGCTCCCCTAGTATGGTACAGAGGTGACGGTCTGGATGGCTACCTCGAAACAGACAAGGCCACGGGTTTCGAGCCGGGCCAACCTCTCCTGCGATGTGCCCTGGTCGAAGACCGAAAGTCAAACAAAAACTGCTTCGTCTTGACCACCCACCACAGCATGTTTGACAAGTGGAGCCTCCAGAGGGTGTACCAACACTACCTCGCCCCAGCATACGCCGGACGAGAGATGGCGAAAGTGGTGCCGTACCCAAGGTTCATCCGCTACGTCCTCGACACCGACCTAGACGCGGCCTCGCAATACTGGAGCCGGGTACTGGCAGATGGTAATTTTTTCACCGACTTCCCATCGCTGCCTGCCGCGAGCTACTACCAGCCCAAACCTACTTCGCTCATAAAGCGGACAGTTCGTGTCAATGAGCTCGCGGGGCTCCAAACGCCCTTCCCTAGCCTTCTCCGGGCGGCGTGGGCACTGACCGTTGCCCAGTATGCCGCTGTCGAGGACGTCCTGTTCGCCGTCAATCTCTCGGGCCGATCAGCTCCTGTGGCCGAAATCACAGACATGGCCGCCCCGACCTTCACTACGGTTCCTGTTCGTATCAAGATAGATAGCGCCAAAACGGTCCAGGATTTCTTGCACAGCGTTCACCGTGAAGCTGTGGAGATGATTCCCCACGAGCATATTGGCCTCCAGAAGATCAAGAAGCTCGTTCCCACCTTCGCCCCGGCGGACCTGAGACACCTCTTCCTCGTGCATCCCGCGACGGATGCGGACGTGAGTGACCCATCGCCTCGTGTATCCGGGTTTGAGCAGGTGGACTTGAGACTGGACGCACTGGATGATTACCCCCTCACGATACTGTGTAAGATGGACGAGCACCGGGGTGAGGCGACGGTGGAGGCCCGTTTTGACAGTGCGGTCATTCACGATGACCGCTTATTCTCGATTTTGCGACAGTTCGAGCACAATGTCGCCCAGCTTGGTAATGCGGCGACAGGCGAGCAGACCGTCGGAAATCTCCAGCTGGCCAACGCTCAAGACCTTGACCAGATTGCAAAGTGGAACCTAGGCGTGCAAGAGACCACCCTGGGTTGCGTCCATGATCTGATTCGCAACGCCATTCGGGAGCACCCTGCAGCTGACGCCATCTGCAGCTGGGATGGACAACTCACATACCAACAGCTTGACCAGAAGGCCAGAAGTCTTGCCCATATGCTCGTCACAGAAGGGAGCGTCGGACCCGATGTGGCCGTCGGCTTCTGCATGGACAAATCGCGGTGGGCCATTGTGTCCATGCTTGCCATACTATACGCTGGCGGTGCGGTCGTCCCGCTCGGCGTTCAGCTCCCGCTGGAAAGACTAAGTACGATCGTGGAGGACTGTTCCCCCGCCATGGTGCTTTGCGACGACGCACAACTATACAAGTTCAAAACCATGGGTTGTAAGAGTGTAATTGTGAATGAGCTAACACTCAATCACATTGAGCGGACACAAGACGGCCATCGTCGGGGCGTTCCTTCTACCTTGGTCCGACCCGAGAACATGGCTTGGATCATGTATACCTCTGGAAGCACAGGGACCCCAAAGGGTGTTGTCCTCGAGCACGGAGGTCTGTGTTCGAGCCTATTGGGAATGGGCAACATCTGCAACACTGATTCAAATTTCCGGGCCTTCCAGTTCAGCGCATACACCTTTGACGTCTCCATCAGCGATGTCTTCGTTACCTTGGCCCGCGGGGGCATCGTATGCGTGCCTTCGGAGAGCGAGCGGATGAACGATCTGGTTGGGGCCATCAAACGGCTGGATGTCAATTTCCTGCATCTCACGGCCAGCACGGCGTCACTAATACCTCCAACTGACGTCCCGGCTGTCAAGATGCTGGTACTTGGGGGCGAACATATCAACCCTGCCTTGGTAGAAAAGTGGCAGCAGTTGTCGAATGCCACCCTGATGAACAGCTACGGCCCGGTCGAATGTTCCATCACTAGTACCGCCAACGCGCTGCTCAGAGACAAGGACGATGCAGCCGTGATCGGCACGGCTCTTCCCGGGACGCAGACTTGGGTCGTGGACCCTAGTAACACTAATCGTCTCGCGCCCATAGGTGCTGTCGGAGAACTTCTCAGTGAAGGACCGCACCTCGCGCGCGGTTATCTCAACGATGCCCTCAGAACTTCGACGTCGTTCATCACGGATCCCAGTTTTGTTGCAGAAGTCGGCTCCGGGCGAAGAGGACGTCGGATGTATCGTACGGGCGATCTCGTACGGTACAACGGGGACGGCTCACTCACCATACTTGGCAGAGATGATTCACAGGTGAAAATCCGAGGCCAGCGGGTTGACCTAGCCGAGATCGAGTTCTGGATCCTGAAAATTGAGCCCAATGTCAGAACGGCCGTGGTTGAGTATCTCAGCTCGAACGACGATCAACGGGCACTCGTTGCCGCCGTCGAACTTCTTGACCCTAATCGCGGTGATTTATCAAGCATAGCTGCAGGGTTGAAGACATTCCTAGGGGAAAAGCTGCCGTCGTACATGGTTCCGAGAGTGTACCTGCAGATGGACACGATACCGAAGACCGCCTCGGGCAAGACCGACCGTCGAGCAGTTCGCCAATTCATGGTCACCGAGGGCTTCCAACGTACGGAAAAGCTCCTTGCCGACGTCTCTGAGCCCGGAACCGTGCACGGCGACAGGGAGACTGTTGTCCGTAAACTGTGGGCGGCGGTGCTTGGCGTCGAGGAAGACAGCATCGACCGACAGGACAACTTCTTCGATCTCGGTGCAGACTCCATCGTCGCCATGAAGCTCGCTGCTGCTGCGAAGTTGGAAGATATTGATATTCGGGTTCTCGACGTTTTCGAGAACCCAGTGCTGTGGAAGCTGGCGACTGCCGCCAAAAAGCCCAACGGATTAGTGGCTCCACGGGGGTCACAGCAACACTACCGTCCTTTCCAGCTGCTCGATGGCGTCGACGACATTGACGCCTTCCTTGAAGAGGTCGTCTGTCCGGTCACAGGGACGCGAAAGGAGTCTATCCTGGACGCCTTCCCAACGACTGATGCCGTTGCCTTCAATGTCGCTGGAGCATTGACGGCTGCACAGACCGAAGTGAACACTTTCGTCCTCGATACAGACTCCGACCTTGATCTGGATCGACTATCGCAAAGCTTTAAACTCTTGGCACAGCATGTGGAGGCCTTCCGAAGCGTGTTCGTGCTCAATCTCCAGGATGGGAAGCTCCTCCAGGTTATTCTGGAATCTTACCAGCACCATGTTCGGGTGGTCAAGGTTGGGGGTTCCATCGAGTCTGCCACCGAAGGGCTCTTAAAAGGGGAGATGGGCCGATCTTTCCGACTCGGCCGTCCCATGATAAACATGGCCATCCTCCACCAAGAGGAGGGCCACAAGACACGCATGTTGTTCCGAATGTCGCACGCCCTCTACGACGGTCTGTCCCTTCCGATCACATGGGACACGCTCCTCGCGATGTATGATCACCAAGGTGCTCTTGAAACTCGACTGAGCTCGTTCTCCGCCTACGTCCATGACCTGATCCCACACACGAGTGACAAGACCTACAACTACTGGCGGATCCTGCTGCATGGATCCGTCATGCCCGAGCTGAGCCCGGCGACGAAGTCAGATGATCAGAGCCCGTTGCGCATGGCATTCACAGGACAGAAGACGATTCCGATATCGGGACTGAAGGGTGAAGGCATTACCACCGCGGCCGTAATCAACTGCGCGTGGGCGCACGTGTTAGCCCAGTACACGGGCAAGGACGACGTGGTGTTTGGGGAGACCATTTCCGGGAGAAACTTGGTGGATCCCCTGATATCAAATACCCTCGTTGGCTGCTGTGCCACTCACGTTCCTATAAGGGTCAGGTTTGGCAACCCCGGTGGGCAGACGGTCCTCGAGCTGCTGCACCAAGTGAGAGATCAGCAAAGAAACCGTATTCCCCATGAAGGCCTCAGTTTCCGCACGATAATCCGCGACTGTACGGACTGGGGCCCGTCTACGCGCTTCACCTCCATCGTCAACCACAGACCGGGCATGTCGCCGGCCAAGCCGGTCGGTGGAGAAATGGCGTTCAGTGTCAGTACCGTCACCACCGAAAACAGACCACTCACGACATGGTACGATCTCGCTGTTATCTCCGAGGAGGACGATGGCGTCGTGACGCTCAGTCTGGGTTACTCGATTCTAGGGTTCAAGCCAGAGACGGCTCGGGCGTTGTTGGATGACCTTGCCGATACAGTGCATCTCATCATGAATAATGGGGCTTCTAGGTCGGATCGACTGGCCCTGTACGGAACGCAGGCTATGCCCAAGTCGTCCTCAGCTCATATCAATCCGATGCCAGCTGAGAGTTCTGGGAACCCAAGGGGCAAAGTGACAAGCAACGGCATGACCATAGACCGATCAGTTGACGCTGGTGTTACCACACTCGATGAAATATGGCTCTCCGTCTTCACTGCAAAGGCAAACATCCCGACAGCGGATACGCGCCAAATGCCGTTCCACCAGCTGGGGGGCGACATACTTGATGTTGTGCATCTAGTTGCCCGGGTTGAGCGCTCTAGAAAGACCACAAAGCGGTCGCTGAATGGGGAGAGCACGACGGGTCCGTACCCAGAGGTGACGATTGACGATGTTCTCCGTCATCCCAGTCTCATGGAGCTTGCTGCATTTTTGCAGGAGAGGCGGATTGAGCTGGAGTGAACATGGGATAGTGTATTAAGTTGGACGAGCTGTGTCAGTTAGTGCGTAGATGGTTTATGTGGCTGATATTCGTGTATTCAATGCTGATGCTGTTGTTGTGAAGTTGTTTTCTGAAGTTCTTGCTGTGGCCGGCCAATTGGCCCCAAATTGCCCTAATGGCCCCTCTTTAGTGCACTGCCACCTCCCTGGTGCCACGGTGGCTTGCGTGCCATTCGACAAGCCGCACCCTTTTGCCAGCTACCGACGCCATCTATGTGTTGAGTATAGGTACCTAAATTTCCAATGCTCTATGTTGGGCAAAGCAGGCACCAGGGAGTTGCTTGTCGGGCAGGGGAAGCAGCATCATTGTATGGCATGACTTTATCGAATTACTATTTGATGTTCATGTCTGCGCGTAACCCTAACCCTAACCCTAACTCGGGTGTTGCCTAACTTCAGCTAACCTGCGTGAATAGCCAACCCAGGGTCACAACATATCACCATGAACACGATATAGCCACACTGATCAGGACATTTACTCTGGCTCCCACGATATGTGGTTGGTGATGAGTGCAAGGGACCCAACCCTGCCCCAACCACCCGTAGAAGACCATCATCTGTACGCATGTCGTGTAGACGCCGAAGTAGGTTGCAAGTGGCATATTGCTTGCAGGGAATCAGTCACCGCTGCAAGCAGTTTCGATTATGCCAGTCATAAACATTCAGGAATGTTTTGACACTCGGGGTAATGGGATAAGTACGCAGCTATAAGTCCAACAGCGGAGCATCCGAGCAAACCAACCAGTTCCCACAAATTTCCCCCATTGCTTGCACTTTTTGCTACATAAGGTTCCTGTATCTTGACGGAATAAAATTATGGACTGGTGGTCAATCACACCTGGTGCCCGTTGGCTTTGATGTTGGGCAAAGCCCAGTAGTCATCGAGCCAGAGACAGGAGAAATGACGCTTTACCGACCTCAAAACGGGCAAGGACAAGTCCAAAGTACTTCCCAAAAGCACCATAATGCGTTTGATGCACCCCTTGAAGTATATGTAACACTTGGGAGTGAAAGGACAGCGTCCTTGGCCAAGTCCATCTGCTTATTCCTCCCGGCCGCGAAGACGGGCAGCAAAGATCACAAGCCGAAACGGATCATGGCCTTTCTCTAGCAGCGCATGACCATGTGGTTAAATAAGAATGCTGGGCTATGGTGTTCCCACTAAAAACGCGGCCCCGGGCCAGGTCGTCTGCCAACTGTCTCGGTTGTTGTGGAGCTCCATCAGCCGTGCTGAATGGATCACTGGATGTCTCGTGGCAATATGCCTAAACCAACTCTGCCCACCGCCAGTGTTCAGTTCTGCCCCTCCTACCATGGCCTGCCGAGACTTGGAGATCCCGAACAATTTGATTTATTAAATGGCCAACACCTTCTTGGATCGTCAAATGGACCTCGCCTCGCTGCGGTAACAACAAACACAGATTGTTATCTTGTGAACACTGCAACCGACACACGTCGCACCTCAGCAAAACACACTCGTTACCCTTACCTCATCAATATCATCTCATCGCATCTCTTCAGAAGTACCGAGTACCTCTGCTATTACCGTACCGTATGCCGGACTGGGCATTCGTCTACCGCAAGACGCTAGACCGGAATTGTCATCCGTTGTGCAGCTGACATACTTCGAACCCTTCGAGCACTCTTGCTTCAGGATCAACGCTTCATGGTGCGTATGTTCGCCGGCATGGCGGACTTCGCACCTTGTCTCCCCAAAGGACCCGGCCGAGATGGAGCCATGACTTCTTCGCACCGATTGGCGTTGATTTAGAGGTTCAACTCAATTGAAAGCCAGGGCACCGGGTACATCCTGTCGTTCGGTTCATCCCGATGCCGGTGGCCAGGACGACGCTGCGAACACAATGGCAAGTGTTATTGAGTTGCGCCTCAGGTCGCTCTTTACGATTCTTACGTTTATTGGATGACGGGAATGGAGGAATGGAGGAATAAAGGAAATCGGAGTATTACCGGATTCGGAATGAAGATAAACTTGAAGGACATTATCAACATTGTGCCGATCATCAAGGGCTCAGCGCTCAATGGCGCCATTTCAGAAGAGGCCCTTAAGGGTGGCTGCCCGCCAACCATGCAGAACAACCGGAATATGGGCCAGGAGCTGTTATTAGAGTCATTGACGCTTCACGAGCAGATCTATGGAATTCTCCACCGCAAGGTTGCACGGGTGTATTCGAGCCTGGCATAACGATGCGAAGACACCAGAGAGATATCAATGAATGCTCTTGTTTGCTTCCAGTATGCTCATGTCACACTCTTGCCCTCTCACCGGTGACAGTCAGACCTAGGTAGGTAAGGAATCATGATCGGGTTTCTTGGATAGAACCAACTCCGAAAGATTGCTTATGTTATGACATCCTCATTATTCGACTGCTCTACAGTAATAATGCCCCTGAATTGTGACGACTTACGAAGGTAGCCCCTATTTATCGTGCCGGCCCGCTTGCTGCCATCTATGGATGCCCCTAGGGCAGAGCGGAGCAATTCCTCCGGCAAGTGGGTACGATGCTAAAATAGTGACGGGCGCGACCCATGATGTAAGTCGCTACCCGAATCTCATTGCGCGACTTTGAGACGCGAACACACACACACACACCTATTGTTGCATTATTTTGGTATTTCCTTACTGGGTAACTGGCGGCGGTGGATTGGTACCTTACATACTTACGCTAAAGATGGCTTCACGGCCCGCGACGACAACGCTCTGCCTGCTGCTGTCCCTGCTCCTCCTGGTGGGGCCCAGCGTCGCGTTCGGCGCCGGCGAGGTGCCCGTCGGCAGCGAGTTCAAGGGCTACGTGTGGCGGCACGGCGACATAGGCGAGGTGTTGCAGTACCTGCCGGCCAGCTTCGTGACGCAATTCCGGTTCACGCAGCTGCAGCGGAAGCAGATATACTTCGGCAACTGGCTGCGCGACTTCTCGCAGGTCATCGACACGGCCTGTTTGGAAAATGTGCCCGAGCCCATCCTGCGCGCCATTGTCAGCGTGATGGGGTTCATGGAGTTCGGCTTTGCGACTGACGAGTTCGACGTCACGCGCGACCGCCTGGGCTGCTACACACACGTCGAGCACATTGATAATCCGGCCGGCTACCAGGACGACGCCAAGGAGGTCGACGAGCGCCTGAGGGGCCCCGTGGACCCAAGGGAGCTCGAGTTAGACTCCGACACGGGCATGAAGAACTACATCGCGAACTCCGGCCAGGCATGGAGGACCTCTGCTGACTACGTGCGCGAGCAGCTCAGGGCGTGCATTGAGCTCGGGAGGAAGAAGAAGAACCCCGGCGCCAAGAAGGAGAGTTACATCCATCTAGGTGCTGCTCTGCACACCCTGGAGGACTTCTCCGCCCATAGCAACTTTGTCGAGCTCTGCCTGCGCGAACTGGGAGAAGAGAGCGTCTTCCCGTTTGTTGGGGATGCATGCAGGGTCAAAGTTCCGGGTATGTTCAGGGGGGGCAGGAAGGTAGCACCCCTCGTCACGGGCACGTTTGGCATGCTGGACATATTCCACAGCTTTCTGGGTGAGGCCGACGACATGGCCATCCTGCAGTCGAAGGGATCGCTGGGAGAGCTTGAGAAGCAGCTGGGTTACGGTGGTATGGCTTTCGAGCAGCTGTTCGAGCTGATAAAGAGCGCCCTGGATGTGCTTGGTAGCGTTACCAAGGGGGACAATCCGATGCTACAGCAGTTGCAGACCGTAAGCCTGATCTTCAAGAAAGCCAAGGCAGGTCTTGTCAGCGACTCCAGCAGCGGCGATTCCGGCAGCGACGACGCCGGAAATGCTAGAAACGCCAGCGGGATCACCAACCCGAACTTCCTCTGGCAGACCATCGAGCCGATCTTCTTCCTTCATGACAGGATGATGAAGTGGATACAAGAGAGCGCCCAGGAGTCCGAGGAGCTGGGACCGGACGAGTCGAGGAGCCAGCTCGGGGACGCTACCAACCAGCTCGTGTTCCGCTTCCTCGCCATCATGATCGAGTCTGCCGTCAAGGAGCTGCGCAACGCGGTGAAGGCGGCCAAAGACCGGGTCGACGAGGAGGCGGCGAAGTCTAGCGCGGCGGCGGTCTACGAAGATGGATCATCGGCCTCGGACCCCAGCCACTCCGACCTGTCGAAGGACCACTTCAGCAACACCCTCAACCAGGCCGCCGGTCTCGTCGCCACCGTCACGACGAACTGGGTCACGCAGCAGGTCGTGCAATGCTGGGACAACCCCAGGTTAGACGCCGACAGGACCATCGACGAGATCCTATCGATCCTCCACCACCCGGCGTTCCCCAAGAAGAAAACCAACATCCAGACGTACATGTTCGACACGGTCAAGAAATGGTGGGAGAGCACATCACCAGAAGAGAAGACCCGGCTCCGCAAGCAGCTCTCGCGCGACAGCGTGCGGGAACGGGGCCACGAGAACCACGAGCTGACGCTCAAGGATCTCGTCGGGACGCACAAGGGCGCAGCGAAGTTCCCCGGTTCCCGGCCCGCGGTGGTGGCGCCGCCGAAGAAGGTGTCCTTCCCGCTGACGTGGGCTCTGGAGGAGGCGATGCGAGACGCCGAGTGGGTGCTGGCGACCATGCGGAAGAGTCTGCAGGATCCTCGCGGGGCGGCGGTGGATGTCGTCTATGGCGTGGTGTACGGCACTGGACGCGTGGCGTTTAATACAGCCGGTTGGGCGGTCAATAGAGCTTTGGTTTTGGCTTCGAAGCTCTGGCCTTTTTAGGGCTAACGAATAGACGATAAAGAATAGAGTTAAATGAATATACCCATCCGGAAAAAAGACGTATAGTGAGGTATGTTTACAGCAAAGATATACGCCTGACAAGTTCGTTGAAGGAGGTGTGCCTCCTCAGACGAAGAAAGTACAGCAGGCATCATGAACATGATACGAGGTTTGCTAGTCTGCTTGATAATCAAAGACATGTCACATGAGCAGAGATCACGATCCCTTGAACATAATACTCAAACGATTGGGTCTTAGAGTGAGACAAGAAATGCACCATCCACAAAAGAGTAAGCAAGGGGTATCTATTCACATGACCAAACAGCCTATATTCATACATGCGGAGTGAGGAAACCACCCGCTTCAACCTGATCCAACACCACGGGCCCTTCGTTCTCGTCCTCAACCTTGACTTCAACATCATCCACGAGAATCCGACCTTTGCCCGGCACAGGTTTCGCCAAGACGACAGTCTCAATGCCCGCAGGACTCATCTCTTCCGGACCCATAGGCAGCGCATCGACATCGATCTCCATATTCAGTAGCGCCTTGAGGATGACGGAACTCCCCGCCTTGCTCATGACCTCGTTGGCGTGCTTGCAGAGTTCCGAGCAGACGCATTCGGGACACCCAGACTCGCAATGGCAGTGCTGCACGCGCTCAACAGCCTGGACAAGAAGCAGGTCAACGAATTCAAATGCTTTGGTGCTAATGCCAGAGCCATTCGCGCCTCCCTTGGCATCGTAGAATGTCAGTCGAGCTGGCCGCTTCCGCGTGGTCTCCTTCTCCGCGAACTCTTTCAACCCGACTTTGCATTCCGTCCGGACGTCGCCGGGCATACTGATGACGAAATTCGGCATTAGACTCAAGACAGCGTGTTCTGCGGCGTGTATGGCTCCTGCGACATTGAGGCGACGGTCGACCAAGATCTGGAGCGCGCGTTTGGGAACATCGAGCCACATGCCCTTGCTGTGGCGTATTATGGGTGGGTTGTCCACATGAACAGCATCAAGAATGCGACGTTTCTTATCGACTTTGAAGTACCCAAACACGTTCTGTGTGATGCGGATGGCGCCGTGGAAGGCTCTCGAGAGCGACCCTGGGATGTTCCGAATAGCCTCCGTCTCGATTGGATCAATATCCGTAAAGTCTCGTTGCTGGGTCGTCCATTCCACCTTGACTTTCTCCACTCTTGCCACTTTTCTGTCGGGCTGAAAGTCGCGGACTAGGTAAGAGTTTCCTTGGTGTAGGAAGATGGCACCATCATAGATGGTGAAGAATGCTCTTGATGCCTCCAGTTCTTCAAGGACAACATTCTTCCCGTGTGATATGTCGACAATGGCGAAGTGATCATCTTCGGTATCTCGAATCGCAACAAATCTAGAAGGGACCGGTCGAAACCTATCGTGGCAGTGGTAGTACCCGAGATCGTCCTTGACCAAGCGCTCCTCAGCAAGCTTGGCAAGGTTTTTAGTGAAATAGGCAGCATCCTCACGTGGCTTGATCGGCATTTCGTATGCCGCACATTGGATATGGCCCTCTAAGACGAGCATATTGCCCAGATCGACTTGAAGCTCGCAATTGGGTTTTGTGAAGAGTTCGTCTGGATTCTGCATGTAATGCTGATCGGCCGGGAAACAATCCCCAACAAGCACGGAGAGCGAGTCTCTGTTCCTCCTGCCAGCTCTGCCACTCTGCTGTCTCAAATTGGCAATGGTGTATGGAAATCCCAGTGTAACGACACAGTCCAGCGTACCGATATCAACACCCAACTCAAGCGCGGTCGTCGCAATGATACCAACGAGCTTGCCTTCAAACATCTCGCTTTCGATTCGCCGGCGATCCTGGGCTGTGTATCCGCCTCGATAACCCATGATACGAGCCATGCATTCGTGGCGTCCAAGCGCTTCCAGCTCGTATTTCGCGGCTGTGACTAGCTCTTCACACTGCTTCCGTACTCTACAGAAGGCAATGACCCGGACACCCCTCAATATGAGCTCGCAAAACAAACGAGCACATTCGGCCAAGGCATTGCCACGCCCACTCGAAGGGTCGCCAGGGTCTTTGTAGGGTGTATTCCAACAGAGGAACTCCTTACGCCCGGATGGTGATCCGTCAAAGTCAATCAGACGCACATCGTCGATGCCAAAGATTGTCTTGAAGTGTTCTTGCGGATTTGCTACTGTCGCAGAACATGATATGAACTTGACTTTCCGATTGCCGACCGCAGCACATATCCGCCGCAGGCGCCTCATGATGAAGGCGACATGCGACCCCATCAGGCCGTTGTAGTAGTGCAACTCGTCGACTAGCAAGTGTTAGCCAGACACCTAGAAGCATGCATTGACCATCAAACATAAGGTAAATATACTCACCAACAACATAGCGGAGATTCTGCAGGAAAGTCCTCCACCTCTCCTCCTGCGGCAAGATGGTGATGTGCAGCATGTCAGGGTTCGTGAAGATAATGCGAGCTTCATCCCGAATCTGTTTCCTACCGTGCATTGGCGTGTCGCCGTCAAAGGTTTCAACAAGCACCTCGCCTAGGTCGGTCAGATAAGTGAGCATGTCTTTCAGGCTTCTCTTCTGGTCCTGAGCAAGAGCTTTGGTGGGGAATAGGTACATGGCCCGGGTATTGGCGTCTTCTTCCAGCGCATGTAAGACTGGGAGCTGATAGATGAGGGACTTCCCAGAGCTCGTGGACGTAGAGACAACCACATGGTGTCCAGCATGAAGGCTGTTGATTGCCTCGATTTGGTGGGCGTAGAACTGGGTAATGCCTTTCGCGTTGTAAAGCGCATTTACCATGTCCTGACTCAGCAGAAAGTCAAGTTCTCCAAAGACAGGCTCCTGCGCTTCGAACACACGATGCCCATCTGGTACAATCTGTCCAGTGTACCATGGACTTTCCTTCAGCTCTTGGACGATCTCTGGAATGCTTTTCCTCTCCGTTGGGATCGACTTTGGTATGGTACTTGGTTCGGGTTTAGGGGTGGTGGTTTCGGATTCAGAGGGGACTGGGATGTGGGCTTCTGCTTCTTGACGGAGCAGGACCTCGGGATCAAGCTTTTCCTCGACACACCGGTTCAGAAATAGGCTCACAGCATTGGAAAACTTCTGATTCCGCTTCTCAATCACCGCAGTCAATTGCTTCTGACTGTACACGGGCATCTTCAGGTCTTCGTCACGGAGTCTCCTTTTAGGGTTGGTGGGCTCGCCAGTCTTGCGGCTCTGGACCTGACGCTTGAGGTCACCGTCGATGAATTCGAAGAATAAGACTTCATGGCCGCTGAGAGGCAACTCATCAGGGTGACGGCTACCGAGATCATCCATGCCCGTGAGACCACCGACCGACGAGTCCGGTGCCGGCCCCTGCACCCTGATATCGCTCTGTCTACTAGACTTGAAAGTCGTATCTCTCTCGGCACCTTTTATGTCGGTCTGTAGCATTATTTCATCCACATAGGCAAAGTGGATGCCTTCGGGTCGCAACGCCACAATGGCTGCCACGTCCTCAATCTTCAATTCCTGCTTGATATGCGATTCTACCGCCGAGCGTATTGTATCGAAAGTCGTGGCCAGGTGTTTCCGCGTAGAACAGAAGGTGAAGACCAGGTTCAGCGCCCGGTGTGTCTTTTCCAGCTCCTTAAACGTTGAAGACCATTCGATCAAACACTCCACTGCTGGGTTCGGCTTTGACGCCTTCTTCCGAGATTTCGGTGTTGTCTTCGCGTTCGTGCTCGCATCGATTGACCCTGTAGCATCATTGCCGTCGTCGCCTTTGCAGGGCGTCGCGCCCCTGGTGGGGCCGATGTCTTTGGTCGAGGGGTCATCTTCGGGTTCCGAGGCCAGAGGTTCGTCGGCTCCGGGGCGCTTCCTCTTCCGTCTGATGATTCGATTGGAGACGGTGGCAGCCTTTAGCGACGACATATCACTTGCAGTCGAGATGCATTGGGACGAGTGCGCCCAGTTGAGAGGCGTTGTCCTGGGATAAAGGGCGCGCCTGGCACGTGCTTGACGTCGATGACTTTCAAGCCACGCGGTCGCGACTCCAGTCTTTGTCGCATTGGTGTGGCGCGACGGCACGTGACCTGAGCAGCCAATTAAAGAGCACGTGCTCACCTTTTCTCCGTTCTTCTCCGAAGCCACATTGCTAAATACACCATAGAAACCAAAGGATCCCGTGATCTTGGTAACATTGGTACATGCCTCATGTTCTGCTTTACTAGGTAAAGTCCTCTACCACGGTTGCCATCTTCGCCCACTTGCACGGTCCACGGATCGATGCCCAAGCAAACCTCAACCCGTTTCCACTTTATTTGTTGAGCCTCGAGTGATCTGTTCTTCTCTTACATTTCCAGATTCTTGCGGCGCATCTCAGCCTGTCCCCGACCCTCTCGAGTTTTTCGAAGGCGGAAATGATGTTGGGTCAGCCGAAACCAACAATGACAGAATTCTGCAATTGCCAGTGTAGTGAGTACACAGGTAATTCTTACGAAAGGTAGGTTACACTGGACCCTCATAAGTCTCCGTACACCACCCGTCCAGCATACAAGGGTATATTCCTCGAAATGGATAAGCATACTGGAATAAGCATTGGGAGTGATCGTATCAACCGGAGCTGCTTATTCCTGTATGCTTATTCTAGTATTTGAAAGTTTCCCATAGATAGGTTGTGGATCCAGTGCATGGACCCATATTGAGTATTCTGGTAACCCCACCAGATATGTTGGAGGTTACCTAATGAAGGCTGCCTGGCAACCCTTTGTTGCCCCAGGTACCTCACCACTGTAATTTAGGTATTTAGATACATCTTGGATGGAATCCTTTCCATCCGACCTTTTAATCAAGCGCCACCCAGACCACTGATAAATTACAACAAGACTTGTGATTTGTTAGCATCTGGGAAAGCTACCAAAAGGCACAAGGTTATGGAATTTTATTAATATAAGCGTACGAAGACTTATGAGGGCTAAGTGTAGAGAGAGCTGTAAAGTACAACGTACATTTATGCAAGCCATTTAAATTGAATATTAAAGGTGCGTAATTATCGTCCAGGACTCGTTAACGGCGGGGGCACAGATGTGAGACAGCCCTAGATGTGGGACACCTCTCATACCAAAAGTCTACACTTGCACCCACCTATAACTCCATCGGGATTGAGGTTATATATAATGTAATTACAGTAAAAGAATCGCCTTTTCTTAGAGTTTTCAGCAATACTAATTGTTCTCCCGGTAGCGTGCGGGTTGGCAGATTGAGCGGCGTGAAGATCGGGCCATAATGGGCTCATTATCCTCTTTATCCTCGCTATTATCCCCTTCATCAGCAGTAACCCCTTTATCATCATGAGGCCCAAATTCCTTTAAATCTTCTGAATATGACTCCGCAGAGTCCTCAGAGAAAGAGATCTCTGATTCATCAGTATCTAAGTTTTGCACTTCACGTAGAACTCGTTGTCTCTCTGCTCGTGCCTCTATAGCAGCTTGTGCGGCCTCCATATGCTCGATTTGCTCAGCAACAACGTCCCTAATTCGTTATAGCCATTATTTAGGCTCTTTCTGGGGTGCCTTACGGCGCTTTTTAGGCTATAAATGCTCAATTTTGTCGTCTTTTGCCTCTAGTAGCTTTTTTATAAGTGCTAACTCAACCACCATCACAAGGTATGCTCTCGCAACCGCGCGGACTCCTGCTCGCTGCTCAGGGGTCTCAGCAATTGATGATAGTATTAGGGCTATGTCCTGCCCTAATTTAGGGGCTTCCAGTGCTTTGGGGGTGGTCTCAGGGTTCATTATAACAGTAGCTGCTGCTTGGATCTCTGCTGCCTTTACTACATGCTCATTTGTGAGGGTTTTTTTCCAGTTTATAGGCCAAAGACCGGCAGCACGCCATCCCGAATGCACTATAGCCTCTTTGGCTTCATCACGGGCCTTAGCTAGGCAACTGAGGAACCATAGCTTGCCTATAGGCGCTGAATCGTTCAACTGACCGAGCTGGTTGATGAGGCGGCGATAGGCGGCTTTCACCACAGAGAACACAGTCAAATCCAGGGGCTGGAAGATATAAGACTATTTCTATTAGCAAAATAACTACTAATTAGTATATAACTTACCATATGGGCAGGGAAAAAACTTAAATAAATGTTATTTATATAGCACAGATATATAAACTCATCCAAGCAGTGGCTGCCATGGCCATCGAGCACCAATAGGCGAAAATCTTCTGGATCTTTAGGGGCAGTATCCGGTAGATAGATCTAGGGCTTGTTTAGCATGTAGTTACTGTTAATAAATAAGAAAAAAATCACCTTTTCAAGTCATTGTAACGCGATCTCGTTTGAGGACCAGCTGTTGGCAGAATAGGCCACAAATCACTCTGCTACCCCAGGATGCTCTTGAATAAGCTGTTCCTTAAACCACTGGGTCTGGATTGGCTTCGCCTTAAATATAACGAGCGGTCGGAGCTTCTTCCCAGTGACAGTGATCGATTCCATCACTGTAGTCCACATGCGGTCGTCGTTAGACTTGACATTGGCCCCTTTTGAGCCAGAACTGCCTATTACAAGGCCATCAGACCTAAATCTCCCGGTTAGCCATCCAAAAACCACTTAGATTGGACAATTCATGTACTGCTGACCCTGCATAATGCCGTACTTATTGACATTTGCCCGGTTTTTGGGTTTAATAAAGGCAAAATCCTCATAACGGTTATGGAAGCTGTTAATATTTTCAGGAGTGACAGCATTGATACACTTGTAATCAAGTTTTCTTCCCATCTTGGTCTTGATCTCTGGGCGCCTCCGGATGAAATTTCGCATGTATTTGCCCTCTAAGTAATCTGCCCTGCGCATAGACCTCAGGATCCGATGGATAATGTACCTCACATTGCCGTGAGTTGGCGCGTGGCCAGCCTTTTCTTGATGGAGGATCTATGATATCACCTTAGTCTCTTGCTCAGGGCTTAGCTTTTGGCTATTTCGAGCTCCTTTACGGCTATTCAGCGTTGGGCGTATTGTGGTGCCCTCTACCTTGTGTGCAAGAGTCGATTTCGGTACTCCCCAGCGCAGATTGGCCTTGCAGAGGGATAGGCTATTGTTCATAGCAGCGATTGCCTCTACGAGGTCTTCTTTAGTGTATGAAGGAGGCATTTTAATGTACTAAAGTCTATAATGCTTACAGAAAAAAGGTTTTTTTTTTTACAGAACTTATGTTACATTGAAGAGGATATGGGCACGGGTCCCATTACCCCTCAGATTAGGCCCGGAAGTGCTAATTTCCGACCCCCACCACCGCCGATCCCCCGCGTCTAGACTATGTAAAAACCAGATCAAAAGAAACACCAAGAAAAGACGATTCAGATGCCATACTTACGGTATCTAGGGCTTCGTTGGCTATGGAGATGTGTATAAGTGAACATTGTGGGTTTGGGTGTGGGAGGTGTCACACATCTAGGGCTGTCCCACATCTATGCCCCCGCCGTTATGTGGCTGCCCGCTGCTGTCGTTCTTGACCGCTGCGTTAACAAACATCGTTTCCCCATTAGCAGTCGAGAGGACCTCATTTCCTGCCATCTTTTTTCTTGCCGCATGGTCTGTACTGTCTCACACAACCGACTGAGCACCATACCCCTCGTGGATATGTCCAAAGCAATGGAGCTTAGGCTGGACCCGCTGAACAGCACTGAATAGCTTTGGACATCCGAAGTGAACCCCTTTGGAGTTGAGGTCAAGTTGCCAGGAGTCATGGGCAATGAACGAAGCAGGTGGCAGCGGTGGCCCATGCGTCATGACAATGTCGGCGTTCTTTTTGATCGGATTGATTCCCTTGGTGAAGCGGTCTTCGTCTCGGTAGGAAAATGCGAAGCCGTGGAAGTCTGGAGTGTATGGCGAACAGTAGATGCTAAATGCCTTGCCGTTTGCCAAGGTGAAACTATGAGTACCCTCCTCGAGAAGATGGACACTATTAGCCTCTTCCTTTTTGAAGAGAAGCTTTGCTTTGGCAGGTTCGTCAAGATCGTCCGGAATGTCGTCGTCCTCATCGAGATTCTCGGCCCACCACTTTGGATCCAAAGAAACGTCGTGATTGCCAGCAATAATGAGCTTCAGCTCGGCATCGATGGCTTTGATATTCTTGATAGCCTTGCGATAATTGTCCAGGCCACCGATCATAGTGAGATCTTCGCAATGAAGACAACATAAGCTTCCAGGGACTTGGCTGGGTTCGGAAAGGCGTCATCGTGTGTATCTGACAGAACCAGAAATCGGGTTGGTGATTCAGACGACGCCATTTTCTGGTCTTTGGTTTCGCAATGGGTAGTGCTAGAGTATCTTAGCTACTTGATAGCTGGGGTGATAACGTTTGATGAAGTAGCTAGAACCGTAGAAGTTGTTACCTGGTTGGCAGGGATGGGGATGCTGTTATTATATTAGATGGACCACTGATCGGCGGGAGGTACATGTAATGTACAGCTAATTTAGGTTCATGTCGGGGCCAAATTCGCGGGGCATGGCTGTGGCAGGGTCTCACCTTGATGGCTCTGTAACAGGTCACAGACGTCTTGGACGGTGGCTATCGAAGCAGGCCAACGTCGTCTTGGGCGCGTGAGGGTTGGGTTCGTTGAACTGCCGGACCATGGTTCGGAGCGGTTGTTGGGTGATCCTGGCGTTCCAGACCTGACGAGGCGAGAGTGGTTCTAGCTTGGGTTGGTTGTGCAGAAGGGAAGAGAGGAAGAGAGGGCTTTCGTTAGGGTTTTAAGTGACTTTTATGGCAATAGAGATTTCTCGTGGCGCAAGGCCATGAACTCTATCACTATTAGAGTTCACGCTTACAGTGTTGAGCTGACCGCGGGAGCTCAACCAGTAGCCGCGCGGTTGGGGAGAAACTCTCTCAACCACGTGGCCAATGGCTGGCAGAGAGCCAGGCTGAAGCTGCGTTTCACTGAAGCCAATCAATTCAATTCTGCGACTCATAATTGGATTGAATTAGTATGACTAAACTAATTCACCTCAATTCCGACCTTTGACTGAGACGGTAGACCAATACCAAAGGATTCGCCTCATGTCCTGCTTTACTAGGTCACAGGTGCCCGGATGGTAGTTAGCGTGCTCGATTACAATTTGCGATAAGTCACGATCAACTTTCTGATCGCAGACCCACGATCGCCCGGTGCTAAGAGGCCCTCCTGTCAAACAGAGCATGCGGGCTTTTAGATGGGTGAAAACATATATTCTGGTGTAATCAGCCTTGTTGCTGTGTCTGTGTGAAAATCCTGCTGTGCGCTAAGTGGCCTAAAAATGCCCTATTGGCCTTGTTGGTGCACTGCCACCTCTCTTAACGCCACGGTGGCTTGCGCGCCATTCAACACCTCCGCGCAAGAGCCGTTCGCAAGTCAGGCTCCGTTCATCCTTTACACCCTCTGCCCCTATACTTGCGGTTGCCATCTTTGCCTCTCGCACCGACCGATGCCCCGCAAACTTCAACCCGTCCCCACTGTATTTGTTGAGCCTCAAGAAATGTCTGTTCTTCTCTTCTACTGCCAGATCTTCGCGGCAGCCATCTCGGCCTGTGCCTGTCCATAACCACGAGCAAACTATATAGTGCACTGCTTTGTCGCACCCAGCTTATGTATCTGCTATTAGGAAGCCGGTTTTTCCGAGAGGCCGGCATTCAGGCCAACCATGCACAAAGACAAGCAATTATGACGTGTCTGATAGCAATGTGTAAACAGAAATTGTCGTTGGTAATCAGGTATTTTCCTAAACAAGTATGTTCAGGTTCAGGCCGCTCTCTTCGTCTTACAGGTCGTGGAGGCTCCTTCACCCCCGCTACTCTAACAATGTCGCGACCCGGGTCAAACTCCTCGAATCGACCATGGGCGCCATGCAGATTCATAGCAAGAGCATACTCATCTTCAAGTCGCTGGCACTTGGCAATAGCGCCGAACTGGACGAGCTCATGTCGAGCCTGGTCGACGTCAACTCGAGCCACAAGTACCAGGCTCACTTTTCCAGAGAAGCATACGAGCCTCGAGAAGAGGCACCGCCCCGTGTTGGATTAGTACGCTGCCTTCTTGGACGAAGGGAGTGGGCCAGTATGGCTGCTGCTGATGGTGCTGGCTGTAGTAGCCAGGGGTCGCCGGGTAGTAGGGGGATGCGCCGTAGTAGGCCAGTACGGCTGCTGGTGCTGCCGGTGCTGGCTGTAGTAGTCAGGGGTCGCCGGGTAGTACGGGGACGCGCCGTACTTGAGACCGCCAGAGTTTCCCTGGCCTCCGCCGAAGCCACCCAGAGGCGTCAAAAGCTGCGTCATCATATGCCTCCTCATGCTTCTTGTATAAGCGGTACGCAGCGCGTTCTTGGTGCCAGTGCTCTGGGCATAGATTGTCTGCCAGTCGATCGGCGCTGGCCGTAGGAGTTTCCCGGATGGAGTTCCGTATCCTGTGTAGCCACCGCTCCGGGTGCCAGAGTTGCCCGTGTTCACAGCACCGACACGAAGAGGGGTAGAATGCTCGTGTTCCTTCTTGATGGCAGTGTCCAAGACCAAATATCGAATCATACTTAAAACTAAGAACATGTCCAGTTTCAGGAAAAGTTCGAATGCCTCCTACTTGCGGCTGCCGTGGGTTTCCGATTAAGCAGAGTCGGAGTGTGTATTAGAAAGTCGAGGACCGAAGCATTGTCGCCACGATAACTCCGGGTGTCAGAATGGAATCTTAGGCCGCTGGGTCGTTCATGGCGTTGCGCTCGATTCGCTACAGCTCGTGGCATCTCCATACCTACTCGCAGGGGTCGGCACCCCATTGGACCTCGACCTGATACCAAGCTACTCTCTCGGTGTCAGACATATATACTCTTCTCTTCCACCGAAGATAACATTGGAGAAAGCTCGGATTGCCCTCACAGCTTCTTCATCCCCTGATCCGGACAGCAAGGTTCGCCAGTCGGTTTGCTATTAACGTATCTTGCCGTGGCGAGAGGGAGAAGGGTAGGTCCAATGATCTGGACAGCGATACCGTGGCAGATCAAACCCCCGTATCTTCTCTGATGCCATCTAAACCTGGCATCCGGGCACTCTCCAGTGCGGACGATGCCGGAACAGGTGAACGGCGGACCGGGTACCATCCCCCACCTGGTACTCGGACACCCCCACTACTCGTACAGCCAAACCCCACCATCACCACCTAAACTCCCACATGTTCACTTATACGGATTCGGCTTGATATTGAAGCTATTTAGAATGTAATTACTTCTCTAGATAGCCCTGATCTTAAAGTTTCTTCCAATGCAAAAATTACCCCGCGCGGCCTACGTGATTGGCTGTCTATTACCCCGCGTTTCCTACCCCGAATAGAGAAATTTGCAGTGCTTGAGCCTCGTTTGAAGCCTTGTTCTGTATGCACCGCAGCATCGTACAGCCGCCAAAAATGCCTCCCTATTCGTATACGGAGGATCACATGGCGAATGCCATCTTAGATATCACGGATAAGGGCCTCTCGCTGCGAAAAAGCGCTCAAAAGCACGGCATCCCTGCCACGACGCTCTCTGACCGACTCAACGGCAAGCCCTCGAAGTCCGAGACCCATATACAACAACAGAGACTCTCCCCTGCTCAAGAGAGCACTATAGTCAAGTGGATTTTACGTCAGGAGAAGCTGGGCCTAGCCCCTTCGCACTCCCTGGTGCGTGAGATCATCCTGAAGGTGTCGAAAAAGAACGGAGATTCACGCCCCCTTGGAGACAACTTCATCGCCGGCTTCAAGCGCCGCAACCCCCAAATAAAGACCAAAGTTGGCAAGCGGATGGAATCAGCGCGCTTTAAGGGCTTTACGCCGAAGGCAGTTAACTGGTTCTTCGATATCCTGGAAGATTACGGCTGGGTAAAGCCAGAAAACACGTACAATGTCGATAAGGGCGGCATTATGGCGGGTTTTGGTAGCTTTACCTACCCTTTTAAATCCACAGAAATTCTAATTATCTTCGCAGGCATCGACTCTCTCGTTCTGGGTAGTTCTATTACTAAGAAAGCCTTCCTAAAGAGCCCCTAGGGCCGTAGCTGGACCTCCTTTATCGAGGCCATCTCCATAACTGGAAAAATCCTCAAACCAGGTATTATCTTTAAGGGGAAGGACCTGCAAGTGCAGTGGTTTATCGAGGAGTTCCAAAAGACTGCCGATTGGCATTACATATGCTCAGAAAACGGCTGGACTTCGAATGAAATAGCCTGCCAGTGGCTAGAAGATGTCTTCATCCCGCAGGTGGACGAGGTACGAGGAAAAGACCAGGCCGAGCCTGTTCTTTTGATACTAGATGGCCATGGTAGCCACACCTCCGTACGTATATGTTTTTTCCTTATTCTACATGGACTTCTTTCATTTTTCCCCGATTTAATAAAGGCTAACGCGTGTTATAAGGACGAATTCATGACCATCTGTTATTTTGCCAACATATTGCTCTGTTTCTTCCCTGCGCACACTAGTCACGGCATGCAACCCCTGGATAACGGGCCCTATAACGCCCTGAAGGCTCACTACCAGAAATTCCTCTCCCAGCTAAATTCTCTGACGGACGCCTCGCCTGTTAACAAGATCAACTTCATTCGGTGCTATAGCCAGGCCAGAGCTGCTGCTTTTACTAAAGCAAACATCCTCTCTGGCTTCAGAACAACTGGATGTTATCCTATCAGCCGTAGGAAGTGTTTAACGCACCCAGAAATCCAGGAAGAGAAGCAGAAGACCCCTGAGCCTGAGACCCCTGAGAGCTCTGAACCAGAGGACCAACGGACCCCTACTACGAGCCGCCAGATCATGAATTTCGGCAAAAATAAGTCCCCTGGCACCCGGCTGAAGTATAGGAAGATAGCCACCGCGTTCGAGGCTAAGGATACCGACCTTGTTATTAAGGACAGGAAGATCAAGGCCCTGGAGGCTGAACTGGAGCGGCTACGGCCAAAGAAGCGCCAGAAGATCCATAATCCTAACAAGAAGTTCAGAACAGTCACAGAGGTACTAAGTAAAGGTGGTAATATCACCCCTGGTGTCTCTGCGGATGTACCAGAAGTTGTGGTTGATAAGGACGAGAAGGAAGAAGAAGAAGACGAAGACTCGGCTGAAGAGCCCGTTTTGGAGGCCATACAGGAGCCTAGGCACACCCGTTCGGGGCGAGCCATTCGGGCGCCCGCACGCTTGTACGAGTAAACAGCCCCACCGCTATCGAATGATAATTTTGCTGAATTTTTCCGATCTACAAGACTTCATTTAGGTGTGGGTGAATAAGGGGGTGTTTTGGTGGTGGATGCGGGGTTTGGCTGTACGAGTAGTGGGGGTGTCCGAGTACTAGGTGGGGGATGGTATGTAGCAGCCCGGCTCTCGGACACTCGGCGGCATTGCGTAGAAGTAGGTGGTCATCAAACGGGGTAGCGGGGGTGATGATGCTCTGAGCAGATACGCAGACAATGGCTGGGGTGGTCTTCTTTCCTGAGACCAAGAAAAGTCATGATCAGTGCCTTTCCCACGTCGAGGTATGCCCGGGATTATTAGGGGATTTACCCGGCCTTGGCTCCGGAGTGTATGCTAGTAAACTCTTTAATCGCGGTAGTAGTTGCCATTGCCTCGCTATAACTATATCTTAAATGGGATACCAAGCTATTCTGGGGACCGGGGGGAAGGGCAGACGCCGTATACTGGATCTGGCGTCTGTACACCAGACCCCGTATACTGGATCCGGCGTCTGTATACCAGACCCCGTATACTGGATCTGGCGTTACAATTACCAGACCCAGTATACTGGATCTGGCGTATTCGTCATCTGGGCTGTCGACCATCTTCTGCAGCTCATGGTAGTGCTGAAGCTCGGCGGTACCGCCCATCTTATGGCATGGACGTTTAGATGGTCGTCCAAGCTCGTTTTCGGACGCGGGGCGCTTTCCACTAAAGATGTCGTCGCGGTCTGTAGCACCGATCGCATCATGACTCTGTGATCGAGACTCCCCTTCAGCTGAGACATGACCTGCGGTCGGTGTTGGTGGAACGTACTGGGCCAGGGGCGCAGTGGAGTCGGCAAATACCGCTCAAAGCCGGCCTGTCCAGAGGGTTGGTCATTATAGCATCAGTGCTGATATTTCCTAGTCCCGGGTCTCGATCTCGTATCCGGTCCTGGTTGGCATGTTGGACTTCGTTATCCACCTCTTGCTGGTGTCCGACTAGGAATGCTGATGTCCGACTAGGAATCGTCCAGTCCTTTAGACACACGTTATTTGCGGGTCTCTCAGGATGAAATGGGGAATCATACTTGTTGGCCGAAGCAGAACGGATATCCACCTGCTCGCGAGAGACAGCGCCACCCTTTGACACTCGGCGAGCCACAGAGCCTTGGTTGCTGTCGATGAAGGCCTGGTCAGCAGCAACTTGGGATTGGGCCTCGTTCTGGGCCTTTCCGCCGTCATTTTTGGTAGCCATGCTGCGGATGGGTCGTATCTGTCCCCCAAACGTTAGCAAGTGCGACTTTTAGGGGGCTTATTCAAAGATTCACCGGCCACGAGCTGGAGTCGCAGTCAAAGTGAGATTCTCCATGAGGAGGTACGTCCCGTCCGCCTCCATCACCATCTTCATCGTCCTCTTCGAGCCCGTCGGAACCCAAGCCGAGAATGTCATGGTAGACGGATGAAACCGCGCTATCGACGTCCTTATCGTCTTGATCGCCCTCAGGAGAGTTCCTACTGCGGCTCGCCCCGCCAGCCTTGAGAAGCTTGTCTAGCATCGACTCTCCGTGCGATTGACAGAAAGGGAGATCCAGGAGGCTATGGTTGTATGCCTTCAGCTGGTGATTTAGATCAGCCGCTGCTGCTCTATGTCCGTTTCCCAAACGTCAGCAAGTGCGGTTTCCCAGAGGGGCTTGTTCGAGTACTTATCGCCACGAGCTGGGGTTTCAGTCAATGAGAATTTGTCCATGGGCATTGAGTCGTGCACCACCTTTCAGGGAAGATTCCACATCGATTGGAACAGTTGTCCTTCCACCCTCTCAGTCAATGGTCCCAGAAGGGCTTGAATTGTGCTGATGAACCTTGTCGACCTGGTATGTTGGGCAAATTCACGGGGCGTCTCACAAAGACTCAACAAGTGCTTTTTTGTAAGCTTTGCTCTCGTCTCTCCTGTTGCTTCCTTCAGCTCCGGGACATTCATAACCCTTCGTACGGTCGCTTGGCGGGGGTTCTCATATCTTAGGTGATCACGGCCGGGACCTTGCAGCGAGTTTCCTCCTCGGTCCAGCTGGCCAGGCTCAGGGCGGAGACGCGTAGCTTGAGGCCTGTGGCTTCGGGTGCTGGTCGATAGGTCGTTCGAAAAGCTGCCGAAACCGAAGCAGACGATCTTCTCGATGTGATGACAACGCCCCATCCATTGGGAAAATCCGCTGGTGGCCGTTATGTGTGGATGACCGGGCCGATTGCGGTCGAATGCGGATGACGGGAAGCTCGAGAAGCATCTCGAACCCGTCATCCCCAGGTGCAGTGCAAGAGTTCCTCATTGGCGACCACGTAGTATCCGTTGACGCCCTTGACCTGGATGATGGTGCGAGCAACAGTGGCAGGATTGTTGACGGAGGCATTCAGGGCGACAGCGGCGGTGATAGCATTGGCGCCGCGACCAGTTGTCTTTCGACGCTTGGGAGTAGTCGACTTCTTGACTTTGCTAGCAGAGGCCTTTCCGGCAATCTTGGCCGAAGCCTGACTCTTCTTTGGCGTTCGTATGGGAGCCATGGTAGGTCCCCTGCCCCCCATTCGCTGCCGGTGGTCGGACATCTTGCCGAAGTACTCTGTAGGACATTGGTGAGGTTATGTTGGTGGATGTTAGAGGGGGTCTCATCAGCTTACCAGCAAGTTCGTCCGCGAGACGGATACTCATATCGCCCTGCATGGGTACCTTGAACTTGGCGCATACATCACAATGCGGCCTCTGTCCATTGAATTACTTGAACCCTCGTTGCTTGCAGTGATCACAGCAAGGTCCTTCAACATCGCCATCAGCGACCTCTCGCCTACCACTCCTGAATGCCTTTTGAGGTCATGCAGGACCTGGCTGTCCCAAATGAATGGTTTGGTGTCGTCATCCTCTTCTCCCTCAACATCGCCGGCACCGGTACGGGCTGCAGTCTTAGCAACCTTCAAAGGTGAGGGCTTGGGTATCTCTTCGGTCTTGATGGTCGACACTTCCTCTTCTCTTTCGTGCATCTCGTACATCTAGGATTAGTTCCATCAGCACCCCTATCAAACACAAATAGTTGATCGGCATTGCCACCACGCCCGCGACGGAAGTGACAACAATGCATGGTCAGGCGCCTGGCTGTGCAAGCTATTGCCCGGTCGGTTCCGCACAAGAGGATTCGTGTTCCCAACCCAGCAGATTGAGAGATGGTATCGATGTTGTGGAATCATCTCAGACTCTGCCGTAACCTTGAGCAAATTATAACGATTTTCTTTGGGTGGCTCATGGCTGAACTCTGTTCGTCTTCTCCCTCAACCTCAACGCCAGTATGGCTCCAGCCCGGATTGACACCGTGGCGGAAGGACAGATAAGTTGAACGGTGGTCCGTATGCCATGAGGTTGTATCGATAAGAAATCGATAGTGTCAACGTATATTTAACGTCCCCGGCGGGACCACTAGCTGTCGTATTCAAGGTCACGCAATGTCTGGCGATGTGCATAACGATAAAGTGTGCAGGAAAGTGGTCTCTAATTCAGATTGGGCCCAAGGCCCGCGAATGCTTCCACCATACTATGACATTATCCTGCTTTCTCCACTCCTCAGTTCTTGTGCTTGTGCTTCTCCTTCTCCCCCGAGTCAGCCGGACAGCAGCAGAGCCTACTCGGGGTCTTGGACACTCCTCCATCCAGCTGGCCAGGCTCAGGGCGGAGACGCGTAGCATGAGGCCTGTGGCTGTGCAAGGTCGCCGATGAAGATGGAGTACTCAGGGCCACGGTCGTCTCGGCGATCAACGAAAGTATGAGACCACCGCCTGACGCCCAGCGTCCATCGGAAGACGCTAGACGCCTAGATCAATCGGAATTGACGCGATCGGTGTCGGGGACAGGAGTCCCGTTGAGCTGCAAAGCCTTCTCGCAAGCCCAGCACCCGCAACTCCCTGAGCCATTGCAAGCCCAGCACCCGTAACTCCCAGTGCACCTTGGGGGTCCGGCGCCGACCTGAGAGCCCGAGCCGTTGGAGGGCTCCCCGTGTAAGGGCTGAAGTTGTAGGCAAACGCCATGGTTTGCGAGAGCGGAGAGTAGTTATTGGAAGTGCCAACAACGTCCTCGTCAATGGGTGCGACCTGTGCAGCCATGAGCGAAGCCATTGTCGTCGTCTGGCCACTGTTGTATGCGCCAATGCTGTCGGAGCCCGGGAAGTTGATGGATTCCTCATGGCTGTAGCGAGGAGCCACTTGAGCACCAAACACGTCTTCGTCGTCGACGACTCTAACCAGAAATCGCTCATTGCTTCAAACATAAGTTAGTCGCAGATCTCTAAAAATGCTATGCAGGGGGAACTAACTTGGCTGAAGCGGTTCGGACATGCGGAGGCTCGTAGCTATTGGCCGAATGTTAGCAACTACGGATTGCGAGCAAGTTTCTCAAAGACATACCGGCCACGAGCGGCGGTTCCAGTCAGAGTCAAGTTCTCCATCGCGTTCAGAGGTGCACCCCCTGACAGAGATGTGTCAGCCAGGTTAGACTTAGGGATCTACAAAGACTGGGAACAAAGAGTCATACCCTGGACGCTCCGCCAATGTCCAGCGATGTGCGTGTCGACAGAGTTGCCGACAAAGGCACCGACGTCACCATCACGAGGCAGAGATCTCGCAACAGGGCCGCCTAGGTCATCGCCATGATGCACAGCGCCACCGAGGTGGTCCGCGCCAATTGATCTGGGATATCCCGAGAAGCCTGACCGAACCAGGTATCGAGTGCACGGCGCCCCGTAATGCTAGGCTATGGCATGGCAGTGAAGTGTGCCAGATCAGAGATATAGTTATCGTCAGCGAGAACACAGTCCATGCAAGCACCAAGATGTCCATGGCAGACCCATTCGTCTGGACTGTGTCATGTCCATCACCACTCTGCTGCAAGAGCTCAGATCCGTCGTTGGTATGGTCGCCCTGGCTCGCCTGCGTTCCGTACCCCTGGCTTACGTGCGTTCCGTAGCCATGTGAGTGAGGCTGCTGTCCGTAGCTAGGCGCATGCTGGTGGCCCGGTCTCTGGTCTCTTCTTCGCTGGCCGTTGGGGCCAATTATGGGACCGAAGAGACTGTTAAGAGAGGGTTTTATTAGATGCAAAGCACACGAGAGGTAGGATAGCTGGGTGGCATGCTGGTTATCGATGGCTCCGGCAGCGCTCTAAAGGGTATACTCGCGCGAGGCGCAGGCGTTTGCGCCTGCGCGGGCGATGCAGCTTCGGCGATGAAGAGACGTCGGACGAAGTCTAGAGGGAAGCTGAGGTCCCATCGCTGAAGACGCTCAGGCGTCGAGAGCCTGAAGGTGGTTGACATGGTCTACTAATATCAAACCACGTGATGTTTATTGGGGTTATTTGTGCTTACATACCTCTGTATTCGGTGCTTTGCTCACGTTTGAAGACTGTCTTTGTCGAAGCGGGCACGAGGAGGTTTACTCGTGGTAAACGAAAGAGGCCGTTAAGTGACGGTGGTGTAAGATTGTTGGCGTGAATGCCTGGGCGGAGGTGGTGAATTGCAAACTGCACGCTAGCGCTGAAGAGGAATTAGAAGGACAGTGAAAAACCTTTCAATGGAAAAGGTCTGTGCGGAAGTGAAATATTCTCCTGTCGGACATGGAAAATCATAAGTCCTGGGCCGAGTACCACTGTTGAACGATTTCCCCTACCTCGACCACTGTTACCGCCTACAGGTCTCTCCCTAGAACCATGTGTTCAGCCGCTGTAATAGGTGCGCTAAATACGTAGGCTGAGGTATTAGTAAGTACAATATGGGCATTACTTGTTCCTGATCTTGCTTACAACCTTGACCTACTTGGAATATCAAGCCGTTATTCTTTTGCGCATGAGTTACACACCATGGCCGATTAAGTACAGTCTATTTACTATGCTATCAACGCTTCCTTCGTATACTTGATGATTTATAAATGGCATTCATTGTACGGAAAAATTCCAGGGGGTGGTCTCATCCTGGATTATGACGATCTTGAAGGGATACGCCTGGTTTGCTCCTTGAACGAAACTATGATAGGTGAGAGGATGCATACGACATACAGTGAATCGACTGACCCTGATTATCCTCAAACCAACCAAACGCATAACGGAAATCGAAGACCCAGGATATCAGTCATCTAGATAGGGAAGAAAATATCAATGGGACTACGGTGATCAGGCAAGGGGCCTGGCGTTAACTCCCTCCACCCGGTCAACAGGTATAAGAACTCCCAAAGTATTTATGTATCCCCTCCCTGCCCATCAATATTACTCATAGCACAAACCCCATCAATCAAAAGCGGCAACGTCCTGTAGGAAACCTTAAGCCTGTCTCGCCAAGCCCAACACAGTCAATTTACAGTACACTTCCACGCATCTTCGTCCGCGATCTAAGTCCACTCACAGCTATCCACACTCACATCCGCATCCTATAATCCAATTCACTGCTACCCTCCTGGCTCTCCTCGTCACCCTCACTCGTCGTCTCCTCATCTTCACTAGTAGTCTTCCCTTCCCCTTCCCCATCAACCCCATCAACCCCCTCCCCAACAACAACAACAACCTCCTCCTCCCGCTTCTCACAAGGATCCCTCCCATACCAGCACCACACCCCCAACCCAGCTCTCTCCCGCCGCAGCGCCATATTCGCAAACTCGGCCTGGCACTTCCAGCTCGCGAAGCGGTATTCGTACTCAGCATTACCGCCGGCGGCGTCGACTCCGTGGCTCACGATGCGGTCCAGGTGGAAATAGAAGCGCGCGCGGAAGAAGCTGTCCAGAGAGCACGGGTTGACGAGCGCGATGGGCCCGGCTATGTGGAGGACGCGTGATGCGGGCTGCTGCTGCTGGCGATGGTGTCGTTGGGGGGCCGCGGTGGAGGGGCGCGGCGAGGGTTCGCGGGTTTTGACTGTGCACATAGCATATTAGTGATCCCTTCCGTCGAGCTGTAGCCTGTATAAAAGCACAGCCACCCGAACAGGCCTCCAGACTCGACTGGGAGCTCAGAGGACGCGGGTCAGACTTTTACTTACCCCTATTCCACCTCGCCCTAACCAAACCCCCCTCCACCCTAACCTCCCCCCCATTCATCCCCCTCAGCACATCCTCCGCATCATTATGACACCAAAACGTGACCTTGGCCGCGGCGGTGCGGTACAGCGGCGGGCTTGCCTCGTTGATGACCGCCGCGAGCACCTTGCCCCGGCCGGCCAGCGCCTCCATCAGCGCGTGATATGTGACCTGCGCGCCCAGACGCATCACCCAGATGCTCGTGTTCTGCGAGTCTGGGATGTCGGCCGAGCGGTTGGACGGCACGAGCGGGTTGCCGAAGTAGTTGAGGGACACTGTTGGGGGTGAAGAAGATGATGGTTAGTATGGGGGACTTGAATCGGGGAGAGAGAGGCTGGAGGAAGGGTGGACTGGGGAATTGGGGTTGTTATCACCACTGGGTGAGTGCTTGAAATCAAGTGAACAGAGCGCTGGGTTACATCGATGTCCGTTGGGGGAGGGGGCAGGGTATTGGAAGTTGAGAGGAGTATCCAGGAACGTGGACGCGGAGGGCTATGGAGTCAACTCACTACCGCGCTCCTTGCGCAACTGAAGCTCCTCCTTTGTCAGCAGCGGCCGGCCTCCTGCCCGACTTCCACCACCACGCCACTGGCAGCCGGCCTGCATCGCCTGAATGGCCGCATTGGAGGGCTGAAACTGGCGACTCGAGCCCATTTGGGACGATGCCGTTGACTCGTCAGTGACAGGCCAACTGTCTAGCACCAAGACCACTGGGCGGGCTTTGATATGGTATGGCATACTTTCGAGAAAAGTCTTGGTTAAGTGGTATAACTTAGGTACTAAGAGCTTGCCAGGCTGATGTGTTGACGGCTTAGGTGTATGCTTCAGGTGCGTTGTGTTGACTGCGTCGTGGTTGATGATGATGATATCGATCAATGAAGATGCCCCTACAAGTAACAAGTGCGTTGTAGCAAGAATAACGAGTGTCTACATCACAGCAAGAAACAACCAGTACCCCAGAAGCACAGAAGAAATAGAAAAACCCACGTCCAAGACCAGGTACTTCACTACCAGCAGCCACCAGTCAAACCCGCGCTCCCAAACGACTAGGGCGGGTTTCCCAGTGAAGGTGATTGCGTCTCGGATAAACAGCCATGTGATAAACGTTTGATGAGACGAATGGAGTATAGGGAAGCCCGGGCCTGGAGGCTGGTTTGCCGTGCGTCCGCGAGGCATGTCAATGTTTGGTTTGCGTAACCCCAGCGCCTTGGGTTGATTTCGGGCGTAGGGGGGTGGATGGGTTTTGGGGGAGATATGACTCTGGAACGTTGGGAATGATTCAGATCGGTACTTTTGCGCTCTCTAGGTGGCATATCTCGCCCTTCCCGGTTTGCCTTACTGTTCGCTTCGGCAGCCTGGTGGGTGTGTATACCACTCATCCAGGAGGTGAATACTACTAGGCCGGGCTATCCAATTGTTCAACATAGACGAAGGCTTACAACATGGCTGATACCTTTCGTGAGTCGTCCCGCTGCCCAGGCTGGAGAACCGTTGTTTCCCAGGAGCTTGATACACGGTCGTGAGCCCCTAGCTAGCAGCAAACTCTATTTCCATTGACTGTGTCGTTGGTGAATGTAGATGCCCATCGCCTTTAATGACAGAAGCGAGGCAGGTCATCCGTAATTTGAGCGGACTTCTCCTGCTGACCCATCACATGCGAGCAGAATCGGGTAGCTTGTCGAAGCTGCCCTCCTGATCATAGGCTCACTGAATAATTTAGGGTGAGTGAACAGACAATACCTTAGTCAGCCTACGACTGCGTCTCAGGCGGCTTCTGGTGGCTATCTACGTATGAGCCCAGTAAATACGCGGGAAGCTGGTCACTTTCTCAATCTGCCGAGCCCGGCTTCAGACCGTTACATTGTCATGAAAAACTTTACATCTTGATTGGGGTGATATGCTATGCTCTATCGGGTATGCCCTTTGCCGACTCCATCCATTCATTGACCAAACATCCATGCCGTTGCCGTTTAGCATGTCCAGTGTGGGAACCTCTCTTTGACACCCAAGTGTCGATGCCGTATTGCCCTGAAAATGCACGATTGCCTCAACTCCTCGTCATTCATAGTGAGATGTCCTATTCCCGGCACGTCCAATCATCGTCTGCACAGGAAGCACCCAAGCGGCAAAATAATCCTTCGGACAAAAGTACTTCTTCCCACAGGCAATCGACCGGAATAAGCAGATCGTTGCTTATTCCGCAAACTGTTTCCATCCTGGCACCTAAAAGGATGACGAAGCTCTATTCCTCTTCGAAGTGCGCATGGCTGAATCCTTGACCTCGTCCTTGTCAGCCTTTCGCTTGGCGGCAGAACCTGGCGAACCCGGGCTTCTCGGGCTGGAGTTATGAGAATCAATTTCGTTGGACGGCTCTCCACCATCATCATCTCTAGAGATTGAGGCGGTTAGATAGTCGCGCAGAATGCGGGGTGGTTCTTGTGGAGCTTTCGGAGCAGACGGAGCCGCCTTGGTGGCAGCCTGGTTGTCGGGAGCGTTATAAGAATCGGGCTTGGTAAAAGCAGGATATCCAGTGGCGCCCTAGACCGACTGAAGTTCACGCTGGACCTTTCCAACTTCGTTCAGGAAGCTCTTAGCATTCGCTGGGCTCATCTACAGAGGTCAGTATTCGTCCGCTCAATTACTGGGTTGCAAGATAGGAGGGAACATACCTTCATCTGTATACTAACCGCTCCTCCATCTTCAATTGCGGTGAAGAGGACACAGGTAGCCTTGACGGTGGACTTTTCTTGGAACTTCATCGCGGGAATCAACACGGTGTTGAGAATCACGCGATGGGTGGAGTCTTGTCGCATGATCAGTCGAACGACCTTCGGTTCGGAATCCTCAAGAGTAGATGCGTCGAAGCTTCCCGGGATAGGGCCTCCTGTGTCTTCATTGATGTCCACACAAGGTATGGGGACGTTAATCTTCAGGTTTCCGGCGCCTCGTTCCTTCCATGCACTGCTCGCTTTGTCGAGGTTGTACAACTTTGCACGGGCTTGGAAGATAGTAACCTCGCCAGCCTCACCGTCATCAACAGCCACTATATTCAGAATCAGTATGGCTTCACGTTGGCTCATCTGAGAACAACTTACCTCGCTGAAGCTTCGTCTTCTTCTTGTCATCGCCAACCACCGACTTCTCGTCTTCGCCGTCCTTGTTCTCGTTGTCTTCTTTATCGTTGTCCGAGGTGCCTTCTTCGTCGCCGTCGTCGTTGTCTTCTTCCTCGCTGACAGGCGCTCCAAAGGGCCTCGCTGGCTTGCTGCTCTTGAATGACTCGCCAGGTTTGCCGAAATTTGAGAGCTTCGATCCACCAACGCTACTGCCAAAAGTCCCACCCAAGGCACTACTTCCAAACGGCTTAGATGATCCACCCATCTGGCCAAATGGGGAGGATGAGCCGTTGGCGAGACTGCTGCTGGCGCCTTGGCCAAAAACAGAGCCTGTAGAAGAAGCCGAAGATGTGAGACCGAATGGCGATTGCGATCCCGAGGCGCTGGCGAACGAAGAGAGCGGCTTGGTGCCACCAGCTTGTAGGAAGGGAGATGACTGTGTAGCAAATCCGGATATGCCCGAGCTCTTGAAAGCCGTCTCGGATGTCACCTTCTCATCCTTCTCGGAAGCCGTCTCGGTGGATTTCTCTATAGCTGATTCGCCTTCCTTGTCGCCGGTCTTGGGGGTCTCTTTGGAATCGGACAAGGTCTAGAAATGAATGGTCAGTTGGAATTGAGAATCCAAATCGGAGTATAGAGCTATTCTTACAGCGGGCGCCGCGGTGTCGGCCTTGGATTCGCTCGAAACATCACGAGGGCGTTTCTTTTCCGGTTCGGAGCGATTGGTTCGGCTTAGCGCGCTACCATTCGCGGGGAGCGGGGAGACGTCGCCATTCGTGCCAGCAGTAGAATCTCTTTGCTCGTCGACCTCGTCGTGTGCGCGTTTCTTCTTAGGAGACGCCACCTGCTCTTTGACGCTATCGCTCGGTGCCTCTGCGGACTCGCGATCGGGTGTGGAGGCCTCGCCAGGTGCCTTATCTTCGCTCGAGGCGGTCTTGGGCGCAGATGCCTTGGGGTCGGGGTCGGTCGCGGCCATGGCAGACAGATTGGGTCTCTCGGATATGGCTGTCTGGCGCAATTCTTTCCGCGTAGCTGCCGTGTCTGGATCCTCGGCTGCGAGGTTGTCGGGAGTTGGACTGCGTTTGTTGGTCGCCATCACGGGAAATGAAAGGTGCCGGTGACCCCCGTGGCAGAAAGCCGTGTGTGGTGTGGAGGAGATTTGAGCTCGCTAGCCGTATGCAATCGATCAAGGACAAGGAAGAATGCAATTTGGCCTGTGCACTCTCGACGGATATTGATGATCCTATTGGATTAAGAGCTGCGAGACACAGGGTTGGGTTGGCGTCTGAAATGTTGGCAAGAAAGGGAGATTGGGGACCGAGGAAGCTGAATGCTGCGTGGCCGAGGGAATGAACGATAAACTCGTGCAGGTGGTCGTGAGAATCGGGCAAAGACACAGATAGATGGTCGCAGCCAATCAAGTCGTGCCACTGGTGGTGGGGACGAGACTTGGCACAAGTAATGCACGAAATAATTTGCACAGTGAGATCCCAGGCACATGTGACAGTTGCTGCAAATTATTTCAGCCCCACTAGGCGGACTGCAGGCCTCGCTTAGCCGCACATTCCCCGCGTCGAACTCAGTTAGGGAGAGTATTCAGTTATCGGGTAGTGCACTTATGCAGATAAGAGCGATCTGGCCGCGTTCGACGCACACGGGTGCGGTAAATTCCATTGGGCCACAGCTCATCAGCTCAAGTTCAACACTTGGGAAACTCATTGGCTCAGGATCCGGCGGGTAGCCACGAGGGCACGCATTCGTGGTCCCTTGCGAAACGCCCTAGGTTGGGGCGTCATCTCCGGGCAAGGCGTTCTTGACTAACCAATGCTGTGCAGTGTGGACGGCTGGGTGAGTTGTCGCTGACTTGCTCCGTCGCGCAAAGCCAACGCATGCCCGGGCGGAAGCCGTATCGAATCGTCACGACGACACGCTAGGTACGCGTCGCGTCCGTCGCGTTCGGCTTTGGAGGCTCGGCTTGTTCGCTGGGGTGGGTATTCCTTTGTGTTGGTGTTGAGAACAGACGGCAAAGCAGCAGCTCCTGGCAGACAGCATCTAGTGGTAGGAGGGAGGAAACCCGGATACAGGTTGCAGTGGAGAGACCAGCAACGAGGCAACGAGGCAACGAGACAACAAGCAGCTACCCGTTTCCATGCAACCTGAAACAATAGCAGTTCTCAAGACAATTTCCTCATTGCCGATGAGTAAGTGAATGTCATTTGATACAGGGAAACGATGAAGATAAGTAAGTCTGCAACAACACATAACGCCCCCCAATTCCCTAAATGCCCTCTTTTGATGTACCGACACAGCGCCTTCTTTATGCAACGACAACCCTTCCCCAAGACATGCCATGGAATCCGACGCGGTATGTGATAATAGTATGTATGCCCTGTCCCCTTTCCCCTTTCCCCTTTCCCTATTGTCTACCTAGGTGAAACGCTCACCGAGGAGAATTCCCCCCTTGCTTTCGACTATTCGACCCCCTCGGCGTATCCTGCTCAGACTCGTAGTCGTCCTCCGACCTCATTTGATCTCTTCCGAGCGGGCTCCTCCCCGTCCTGCGGTGGTTCGTGGGTACGCCGAGGCTCTCTCGCCTTGTCCGGGAGGGTTGCTCGACCGCGTCAGGCCCTCCTGGCGAAGGGGCACGCAAGGCCTGGGAACCCCCACTGCTGCCGCCGCTGCCAGGTCTGCTACGATGATATTGGCGACCCGGCCTTCCACTGTCCGACGCTGCAGTATCATTTACCGCCTCCCATTCCGCCCTGGCCAGCTCGGTATCCGAGATCTCGTATACCTGGCCCTGGGGCGGTATCGCGAATTTCTTGCTGTCCTCGACGAACTGGTTGTACTGGTTTCCCTGTGCCATCTCGTACTTCTTCCGATCCTCGTCTCCCATGAAGCTCTCGACTCGTCTTGGATTGTACACCGAATTGTTTCCCGTTGTCAGAAAGCTGTCCCAGGAATCGCGGTGCTCGAGAGTGAGTCGACCCTTCACACCGAGAGACGATTCGCCCAGCATGGCGAAGCTGTATGAGGAATCTTCGGGGTGGGAGTAGAAGCCGTTGGCTTTCTTCTCGGGAGCGGCGAATCTGCCGTCGAGCTTCTCTGGCGGCTGCAGCTTGCTGCGCGATCGGACGACACCGCCTTCCTTCTTTCCTTTGCTCTGCGCTCTCTGGACCTCTGCGGCTGGGATAAAGGTTTCGGGTACAATGTTGAGCTCGTCTCCCGCCTTCTCGGCTTTCTCGATGGCCTCCTGGACAGTCGTTTCCGGGTCGGCAGTCGCAGCGTCGGCACGCGGGCCTCCCCAAGTTCGCTGACCAGCCGTGAAGATTCCGTATACCATATAGTACCAGTTGAAGAAGGGGTTCAGAATGAACATCATCGGGTACAGCCAGATCTTATATCGCTTGAGCTTGAAGCCGAAGTACAGCATCAGCAGCCAGTTCAATCCGAGTGAGATGCCAATAAACCCGACCGGCAGCTGGCTGACTTTCATAGTCGTCGTAATCAGCGAGAGCACCAATATGAAGAATAGCAAGGCCGTCGTTCGGATAGTGTTTTGCATGAACCGAACCACGAGCAAGATCGGGTACCGTTTCCAGAGACGCCAGTCTGTCAACATGCAGACTTCGTTGGTGATGAAACCGAGGAACCATCTTCGTCGCTGCTTGACCAGCGATTGCACACTCTGTACTGCTTCCGTCTTGCAAAACGCCGAGGTGCACATTTGAATTTGATACCGCTTCTTCGCGCCGATCATGAAGAGATGCGTCAGCCATCGGTCCTCGCCCAGATGGCTCTTGGCGAAATCGAATAGATCCTCACACTGCTCGGCCTTGTCAGCAAAGTAGTATTTGGCCATTCTCCGGAACGCAGAGAATCGCAGCATCGTCAAGGCTCCTGGCAAACAGGTGACGGCGCCGCAGCCCGACTCGACCGTTCGCTCGAAAAGCTGCCCATGGATGTACTCCATATCCTGTAGCAAGGTGATGACACTGTGCTTCTTTGTCGTTGAAGTGATGACGCCCGTCATTGCCAACATGTCTCTTCGGTTCCCAGGGCTTAGTTCCATATCGTACACGAAGTTCTGTAGACAGACCTGGTCGAGGATGCAGTCGGAGTCGATAAATAGAATGAACAGGTTGTCATTGCGCTTCAGATACTCCTTGTACACCTTGTCGATGAGTTTGAAGGTGGACTTCTGGCAGTGGCGTTTCCCGCCGTGGGGGAATCGCGAGACGGTGACACGGGCTGCTCGGTAGTTGACGTCGATGCTCTTCGGGTAAGACTCGAGGGTAAGAGGAACACCTAGTTTCTCAATCGTGTTCAGATATAACTCGTCTTCCTGGTCTCCATCGAATGAAAGGAACACATGAATGCACGACGGAGGGTAGTCGCAATCCACGACCGAGTTGATAGCGGTGACGAGGACTTCGGGATCCTCCTTGTAGCAGGGCATGACGATGACGACCTTTGGAGCGGAAACCTCGTCCAGTACCTGCTTGACTCGTTTTGTTCGGCCAAGCTGATTTGTGACAAGTTGATAGATGCAGAAGAGCCAGGGAACCGTCAGGAGACCGGCAAAACTCCAGAAAGCAAACCACTGGAGAATGCTGACCATCTGTTTTGGCCACAATCGAGTGATCTGGCTGGGAAGAGGCAGGGTAACGAGCATAATCGGCAAGAATATGAAGCTGCTCTCCCGTTAGCAACGACCAAGAAGAGGGTAAGTCCAGAATGTGACCATACCGGAGACCGCAAAATAAGAGCCCGATAACAACAGCTAGAACCCTAATGGTCCAGTGTTCTGCTTTTTGGTATACCTTTACCAAGCAGTACATGAATGCAGCTAGCCATAGGAACCACTCAAGGAGGGCTGCCACCATAACAAGGCCGACAATGGCGGTGTAAACGATCTATTGAGCCATGTCAGTAACACAGAACCGTTGCATTACTGGAGAACGACGAGATTGCGTACCTCATGGACAGGCCATGTCTTGGTGATGCCCTGCGTCATCTTGATTGATTGTAGCTGAGGACGAGGTTGTGGGCGGAAACGGGGCGATCAAAGTAAAGTGAGTTGCGAATTATAAAGCAATACCACAAGCAGCTTCAACGATCGGGACAGGGCCTGAGCGTTTTGTTTTCTGTGTGGGTACCCGGCAGGTTTAAAAAAAGTAAAGAAGTCGGCGACGCGGGATGTAGCAGACGTTGGTTACACAAAGCTGTGTTTGTGGCTACCCGCAGTCCGACCAGGGGATTTGGCGTTCTCACTCGCTCAAACCGGAAAAGAATCCCGTCCGCGTTGTTGTGATACGTAGGAGTAGTGGGATCATCAACTAGATATCGGGTGCGTTGGCCGTATCCATAGCGTCGGGACAAAGACCTGGAGGTGAATATCGTGGGCTGAGCAACTGTCGTTGGTCACGAGTGCGGATGGCCTGCAGTAGCCAGGGTCATGTACCACAGCATCCGTAACGGAAACCCGAGCACCTAGCAACATGCATTAAGCCGCCTAGTAGACCGGGCGGGATTGCAGACACGAGGTGTTGCTTCAGCCGTTTTCGTCGAGGTCCGAGTGATACCCAGGTCAGGCGCAGTACTGTACTCCTATTCTGAGAATACTACGGTGACGACGTGTTGTGCGGGTATTTGGGATAGACAGGACGATAAACAGAAATGAAGAGCTCGGGGAATAGCAGAGAACCAAATGTCCCTGCGTCGACAATGGGAAGAAAGATGGCAGCGGATGAAGCTGTGGGCGAGTGAATAGGGAGGCGGTCTCCTGGCAAGGGGACTATGGGGGTCCTTAAGGGTATCGATGGAGGGGGGATGACCAGCACGTCAGCTGGAGCGTAGGTAAGGCGTTGGGAATGATTGAACGAGGACCTGGCTGGCAGTCTCCATCTCCCTTTGCGCTGTTCATAGTAGTCGGTCGGTATTTGATATCTGGACTTGGCGGGTGAATAGGTGTTGCGAATCTGCGGGACCTGCAGCCCGGAGTGGCATCGACGGAACTGGAACCGGGGCTAGAGGCAGGGCTAGAGCTAGACACTCCTCAGAATACCTCAGTCGGAAGATGGCGAGAATAGAGCCGTGCTGCGACATGTATTACATGTATGCCAGGTACAAGTACATAGGTCAGTCAACTGGGGATACTGGGTTCTGGTCTTCGATGTTCAAATCCTCTGCCGACCCGGGAAAGCACAGCCATGGTACACATAGGGTGCTTCGTGACAAGAACTCGTAAAATGAAACGGCTTGCCATCTCTGCACAGCAGATACCTACGGCTCCAGAAACGACGTTGGTCAGTTGGTTGGTTATGACCAGCTGATGGATCGTGAGTACATTCCAGCTCTTAGATATCTGAGAAAGTCGTGATACTTCCAAATCATGGGAGAGCTGTGACAGCTACCTCAGCTAGCCCAACGACCTACCTTACGCCCACATCAACAATGCGGGGAACGGGACGACATTGCAGCAGGACAAACAGGCGAGTGCATGGACTCCAATCAGCCGTGCATGTGGGCATGACCTGAAAGTCTTGTTCTGCTGCAAGCGGTCGAGGAAGAAATCCATATGGACATGCCGTGAATGGATACTCTAGCCGGTAATGGAGGTCACTCGGTTTGCAGCCTGGGTGCCAGGCCCGTCTGCCATCAATGTAGCAATCGTCAGTGGGTCGGGGCTGCTCTCTGCAGGCAGGCAAACAGTCAGTCAGTCAGTCATAATATTGATCTGTCGTATCATTCGGCTCCCTCGACGTGAGTGTCTAATGGAATAAAGGCAGACGCCAAACCTGAACCTGGGTCTGGAGTCAGAGGTCAGGCCAGCGCCACAGAAGCAGACCGGTCAACATGCGGAATCCAGACAACGTGAGGATCAATACGATGTTGTATGCATCACGAAAAGAAAGGCGTTCCTGGCGCTAAACCGGATCGTCGAAACGGCCGAGATGGCTTGCGTGATGGCTTGGGAGTCGTTGTAACATTGTCGGGGGAATCGTCCCCATTTTCTGTGCGTCGACAAGCGCCTGCGCCTACCAGATGCCGCTAAGCCCGATATCGTAGTACGGCTAACTCCATGTAGCAATGAACGGTAACCCCAGGCCGGGGTAAGGAATCGTAGCGGGGATGTCTGCCGCGCAGGTCAGGGGTCAACGCGGAGGAACCTAAGATCGTTGAGGCTTGGCGGGCTGGCGGGCTGAATACCGCGATGCGCAATAAGGCGTGCTGACCGTGGACTGTAGCTCGGCAGCTCTCGGAGCATCCAATTGGAGTATAGTAAGCAGAAGTCGGGAATCTGTTCTCGACGTCGGGATGGAAGCACGTCAAGCGAGCCACTATGAGCATCAGTCGCAATGCAACATCGCCTGACCGCAGGATCTCGTCAACAGCACCAAACAGCACGTACACGGTACACGTAAGCCCTAATAAGTCGCGCCCACCAGCAGCCAAGCAATAAATCTACGGCAGAGTAGCATTTTTCATCGAGTATATGCACCGGCTGACCCCTCCCCACTTTTGAATCTACCACTGCTCGTATCCACTTAAGGTATGAGTACTTTATACCCTTACCACTTAATTTTAGTACGTTAAACCACTGAAAGTATGAGTGTTTTATGCTTTTACTACTTAATTTTAATACGCTAGATATGCGCTAACTATACCCGTTATAACTACATACAAACCGCCGCTTATAATCCGCTTATAATCCGCTTATAATCCGCTTATAATCCGCTTATAATCCGCTTATAGGTTAACGGTATTATTTTACTATATTAAAAAAAAACTTTAAGCCTTAATTCTAACTTAAAGCCTTAACTATTAAATTTAAGCCTTAATTATTAACATTAACTATTAACCGACTTTAATCTTAACTGTTGGAACAGGCTTGAACGATCAATCATAATACTCGAGTATTGGGTCAAGGTCATGATGTTGCTGATGGTTGGATTGGGAAGTGTCTTGGGGCAGATACAAGAACAGGACAAAGATGCCCATCAATGACTTGTATTGTACGAAAATACTTTGCTGGGGAAGGAAAGAAGGATCTGACATCCCACCAAAATCTGATGGGAAGATAGATCATCAATCACGCCCCACTATAATCTATCTAGCTGTGCAGCGGGGCAATGCGTTCACCTCACCAAGTCACGTGGTGGGAGCGCACACACCATGATAGATGGCAAATCCATCACAGGAAGTCTAGCTGGACCTGCAGGTCTGGCTAAGTGACCTCACACTCCGGTATCTAATCTTTTATCTAATCATACATGTGGGTTCTGTATGGATGGTTTGACTGTGAAACCACATGGATCCAATATTAACTTTTAATTTTAATCGGCGCTTATAAGCGGATTATAAGCGGATTATAAACAAGTATAGTTCGTAGATATTTATATAAGTAAAAGAGGGTTTAAAAACACGTATATTATTTTATTAATACATTAATTTTTTAAAAACATAGTAAGTTTTTAAAAATGGTAATTTAAACCTTTTTATAACTAATCCCAACTTTAAATTTAACTTTATAAAATATTAATGCTTTATTTAATTAATAATTACGATATATTTAAATAAGTTATACCATTTGAAATAATAATAATAACGATACAAGCTAGTTATTATAATATAGTATAAGTTATAATAAGTAAATATCTTAAAAAATAAAAGTTAAAAGTTTTAAACTATTAAAAGTTAAAGATATATGAGCTGTTATATACAATTTTTAAGTTACGTAAAACCCAATTTATTGCGTTATTTTTAAGTGATATAAAAAGGTTTTTAATTAAGATTATAATTAGATTTGAATAAGAAGTTTTAGATTAAATGTGACGGTGTACAGCCGTATCCACCTGGATGGATGAAGGGATGCTGAGTCATCAAGTCACGTGTAGATTAGATAAGAAAGGAATAAGACCACCACTTAAGGTGTGTGCTGCGCACACCACTTTGCTGGCTTTCTTTTTCTCCCTCACCTTGTTATTTTCGAAATACAACACCAGATTCCCACACAACGCCGCAGGCATCGTGACATTAAAAGTTCAATAATTTACTATTACATTATTATAGTTTTAGCTATAAATTTAAAACGAGAATAAATTCTTATGAGATACTATATATCCTTATATCTTACGCGACCGTGCAGCTATTAAAGCGGGCGCGTTTAAGCTATATCATAGTTTTAAGGACCTTACACCTTTTTTCAGCTTATTAGGCTGGCTAGGGGTAATAAAACATACCAGATCGACCTTATGACCATAATAGCACAATGACCTAACCAGTCAGGATTTTCCCATATAATTCTAGTACAACTCTATCACTTAGCTACATCATGTCATCATTTGACATGGTAGAGCAAGTCTTTCCTAGGAACCCCCCACCCACCTAGGTACTCAGCGCACTGGAATTAGGTGGCAGGCGTATGAAGTATTCATACTTGTGAGTGTGGGGTGGCATGGGTGCGGAATGAGTGCGGAATGAGTGGGGAGGGGTCAGCTCGTGCATTTCCTCTTGTTCATCTAAACGACCCGATGACATGCAGGCCCAATCTAAAAGTTTTCCTGGGGCGCATACTGTTGAATACACGGATGTTGATTGATGGATGCTATTGATGTTCTGCTCTGTGTGCAGAGATTGATCATCTGTCTTCTTGGTGGGTCAGATGCCCTGTGCGTCTCTGCCCCACTGGAGATCTTCCGGTGTTTATCTCCGGCTCCCATTCAACACATACTGCGGACTCACACCGACGAATTGGTCACCCGGTTCAGGGCGACGACGAGTGTCCAGATCAGCCACATCAGCCATCCACCCAGCCAGTCCATCCATATTTACCCGGCGTTCTGGGCATTACAAGCGCAATCCCAACCCCATTGACACACCAGGAGGCACACCACGAGGCAAGTGGCAGTACGTCCATACCTCATTCCCCTTGCTTCGATCGACCTTCCGAGTTTGTGAACGCTGGCTGTTGGAAGACATATTACAGAGCTGTATTGATATGCCGGCAGCCCGTTTTGCCAATAGCCGGAATGCCAAGGCCACGCGTCAATCATCTGGCCAGCCCAAACCTGACCCGTCTCCGTGTGCTCAAGCCTGGAAGGGGCACCTCTTTCAACAGAACAGCGCAGTCCGATGGAGGGGAGTAAACAGTTATACATGTGTACATGTAAGAAGGTACTATATTGTATGTAATAAACACTCCATAATCAAACAAGAGGCCAAACATCGCTGGGGGCGACGACCCACAAGCTCATCAGCACAGCTCCCACAGAGGTCGCGGCAGGTGGGCCTGGACTGGCGGCGCGTAACCCGTCTTCATCTCCTTGACCCCCACATACACAACTTTGCGCTTCGGGTTTCCCACGAGCACCGATTGGGACTGCAGGCCGTAGTAATCCGAGATGGAGTGGGTGATCCAGCGCCTGCAGAGAAAACCGTCGGCGTCAGTCCCAACGTCCTTCCTTGGGCCCCCACGCATCACATAAGAAAGGGGGTAAGAAGAGCGAACATACCTGAAAGCGCCATCATCCTCGTCGCCCAGCGCGTCGAACACCATGCCTTCGTCCTGCGGCTTGCCCCTGTCCTCGCGCCGCGCCCTCTTCCAGCCGTCGCGCATGGACCCATTACGGCCCACGAACACGATCTCCTCGTCCTCGGTGCTGTCCTCGTCCTCGGACACGGGTGCCTCCTTTGCGATCTCGCGATCGACCAGGTATCGACGGACGGGCTCCTCCATAGAGCGCACCCAGGTCTTGACGGCAGGGACTTTCTTGGCGCGCTGGAACAGCTCGCGCGGCACGCGGCCTGAGACGTGGTCGTCGCCCAGCGTGCGCGTTTGCATCTGCTTGTGGCGGGCCGCGATGGCTTTCTTCGTCTCAACCTCGACGCGCATGTGCCTGTCCCAGGCATCAGCGACCCGGTACGGGACGTGGTGGACCGGATGTGTCGGCCGGGGCGCCCAGTCGGAGGGCTGCGGAGGTTGAGCGTTCGGGACGCCCATCAGACGGTCTGTACGCAGAGAACAGTGATGTTAGTCCTGAACTCAAAGGGTCATGGTGCATAGGGATGTAGGATGGAAGGGCAAGTACCATTCTCCCATCGCCGACGCTGGCGACTGCCCTCATTGCCTTTCAGGAGCGCTTCTCGGCGGCGCAGGCTGTCTCGAGAGAGCGGACGGGGCGGCGGCGGGATAGCATTGAACTTTGTACGACGATCTTGGATGGTCACGGATGGCTTCTTGATGGCAGACTCGTCGAGTGAGATGGCTAGCGGGACACCTGTTCCGCGCGCGACGGGGGAGATGGCGAGAGATTCAAGGGCAGACACTGTCCATGCCTCGACATCTACTCCACCACCAGATGGAACCGCCGTCGTCGCATTGGCAGCCGGATGCTCCGATGGCGGTTGGTGCTGATGGTGATGGTTCGTGCTGGCTGCTTCCGCGCCCCCGAGCTCCGGAGGGGGAGGCACTGCGCTGTAGATGGCCATGTTTGCGGGTTGACGATAAGGTAATTAGCTGGATCTCGGTGGCGTTTCTAGTATGAAATGAACAGTTTTCCAAGAAGGAATAGAAATCAAATAGAAACTCTACAGACACAGGTAAGAAAGGGGAAGGCGAACCAGACAGACGAGGCGGGATGAGTCGTTGATGGTAGTCATCCGGGGGCCAAGCAAGTTCCAGGCACAGGGGATGACACATGGACTTGCCTCGGGAGCGCGACTCCACGATAGGGGATAAGATAATCGATATAAGCTTCAACCAATTAGCGGTCTAGCGCAAGCACGGGGGCGCGATAGCTTCCCGGGCGCACTGCTCCGGCGGGTCATGCTTATTACGGAACAGTGAGGCGAAGACTGAAACGTGTTACCGGGTAACGTTTCCCAGATAATGATGACCCCCCGGAGTTTGTCCAACGTCTTTCTACTCATGCCTAAACAGACTCTCACCAGTATAGGTAGTGTGAGATAGACAGTTGTTCAAGTCAGCTAAGCCAATCAAGGCCATATAGAGTCAATTCGAAACACCAATGGACTGTCCCTTGACGGCAGGAAGTTGACACGACAATTGCTCATGCACATTGTAGCAAGTGGCATTCCTGGACCCTGGTCAACGCATAAAACAGGCCACGATGAGTGCAAATAGCCTCACAGCATCTCGACGCGATTGGCGTCAAGGTTTTGGGATCCCAACAAGTCTGTATTCGGGTTTCAAAGCTGCTAATTCTGGACAGGCATTTCACGAATACCAATGCAAAACCTGTTCCTCCTCCTAGGAGAAGTTATATATAGGCGTCGTGCGCCTCAACGCCGGACTTCCGTCAAGTTCCAAACAAATGGCTGCCGCCCATGCACGCGAGAGATGAAGAATACGAAGAAACACAAAAATGCACAAGACAAGATGGCTACCGGGTGCCAGAGCTACCGAGACCACCTGGTGCGAGCAGTGGCTGGTTCTCTCCGTATCCCTGCGTGCTCTCGCGATCAAGCGCGCGCTCGATTTCTTCTTGTGTATCAGCATACGCTTGCAGGTGTGCCGAGTACGGACCTGGTGACGGTAGGGCTCGAGGCGTCGTACGTCGGTTGTACGCGGGTCGTTGCGGCGGAGAAGAGCTTCCTTCGCGCCCGGAACCTCCCTCCATCTGCGCCGCCCATTCGTATCTGATGGCCATGCCGAGAAGAATTCCTTGCATAATGGCAGTCATGACATATACGCCCCACGAACTCCAACCTGCCCATCCTAGCCGAGCTGCCAAGCTGGCGGCGAAGAGAAGCCCACCAGGCGTTTGTATAGTCATCATCAAGATACTCAGACTACCGGCCTGCTTGATCTTGTACGTTGTCCATATCTGGGGGATGTACTGAACCGCGGCAAAGGCAGCAGCCATGATTCCTAGAATGTTTGCCCACGCGGCTAGGTATGAGGGTGCGCCGAACGCAAGTGCAGCTGAGATAATGACGACGAATAGACCATGGACCAGGCACAGGCCAGCGACACCGAGGGCGGTTCTCCAGGTAGGTCGATCGTCATCCCGTACAGAGTCGTCGTCTAATAGCTCATCGTCTTCGCGCCTAAAGAAGACAAGGAATAGAACCAGGCTGTTGTCGCGTGTTAGCAGAGTGTGGACGGAACCGTATGAGGTAGAACTACGAACATGATGGCGAAACAGATCCACTGTGTACCAATCTGTGCAATACCCAGCAGGCCAGCCGTGCACTCGAAGGCACTAACTTCTTTGCAGCAGGCAACGTCGGCTCGGGATGCGGGAAAGGTAAGGATGTTGCCGAACTGGGCATTGGCGGATGTAACACCAAGTAGGACGAAGTACGGCGAGATGCCTTCGGAGGAGCCGCGGGAGATGATTCGGTAGTGTTGAGTCAAGTAGGAAAGCATGATTCCGATCACGATAAGGCTGCAAGGAGGCAGTGTTAGCATCGTTCTGGCTCCAGCAGCGCGAGATACCGGAGATCGAAGCTGTTGACTCACATGGAAATGAAGAAGTTGGTGATTCCGCCCTCGCGGAGGGCCTGACAGCGGTCCTCCATGAGGCTTATCATCGCGACAATTGTTGGTAGGTCGGCGGACGAATATGGTCAAAGCTGTTTGATGGAGGACGGTCGTCGAGTGCTGGCCGATGGAAGAAAGGCTGCTGTTGATCAACAGGCTGCTGCTGGGTAGGCAAATGACGGTGCCGAAGACCGAGCAGAACAGAATGGTGTTGGTGAAGGACACCAGGCGCGTGCAGGCTCAAAGTAGGACAGGCTGATACTGGAGCATGGCGGTGGACTATCAGCCGCGCTCACAGATAAGGTATGATCGTGGACTATTGACTTGACGATGGCGGTTGCGGTGGGGGTTGGCAGGTGGTTGTGGGCACCTGCATGGCCCCAAGTAATTGACGACGCACGGATGCAACGGTGGTCCAGCGCGATGACGTTGGGTTCCAGGTCCCTGCTTCTAGCGGCTTTAGCGCTTAACAGTCCTGGCAGCTCTCGCGCTTATGAACACCGTTAAAGCTGGCTCCACTTCTTTTTAGATATAGCTTCGCTGCTTCAGAGCTATCACGAGCTCCCACAGCAGGTATAGCCGTGATTCCGTGACTGGTCACATCTCGTAAAACACGAGACGACCTGGAACCGATCAACCAGATATGGTCACACATATGAGCCCACAATACCAGAAGCTGCCGCAGGGATGGATCGAGGGGATGAAGGTCCCTACGACAGGGTAAAGCTCGAAGCATCGACGGGAGACATCACAGCGCAAGATGGACATGCGTCTTCTCCAGGAAACTCCAGCGTCAGTCCATCACAGCCGGGACAGCACCGCTCCCGAGCGGACGCCACATCTTCAGATTCAGATGGCCATGACCTCCGCGGCTACTTTGAGACCGCGCAATGGACCGCAGACGGGACAACCCTCCTAACATACTCATCCACCAACCTAATAAGCGGCTACATTGTGCCGTCGGACCTCCTATCCCCCAAACCCACAACGCTCCCCCTGCGCCCCCAATCCCTTATCCAGCTGTCCGAGCCGAGCAACGTGCTCGCCGGCGCGCCATACTTCGACCTCGCGACCCCATGGACGAACCAGCTCCTCTTATCTTCCAAAGACCACCCGATCCAGCTCTTCTACCTGACTCCAACTTCAACATCAACATCACCCTCTCCCCCCCCAGCATCCTCCTACCCCCTAACTAAAGCGCGCGCCGAGACCTTCCTCTCCGCCACGTCCCTCATCTGGCCGTCGCCCGGCACGCACTTCATAGCCGGCACCTCCAACCTGCTAGCCAAGTTCGACGTGTCGCGCCAGGGCGCCGAGCCCGTCCTGCGCATCAAGACCATCCCGTCCGAGCGGCACCTGTCCAAGGGCTCGGGCGTCGGCATGCGCGGGACCGTGTCGGCGCTGGGCGCGCAGCCCGCCGACGCCACCACCGGCGCCAGCCTGGTCGCCGCCGGCACGTGGACGCGCTGGGTCGGGCTTTACGACTTTGCGCAGGCCGGCGTGTGCGTCGCTACGTGGAGTATCGCGGCTGCGGCGCGGGAGATGGCGGCCAGCAGCACCACCACATCAGACCCAAACCCAAACCCAGCCTCCATCTCAAATTCAAACTCAAGCTTGAACATGGATCCAGGCGCTGGCGGCGACGGCATAACCCAGACCATCTGGAGCCCCTGCGGCCGCTACCTCCTCATCAACGAGCGCAAGTCCCGCGGCATCCTCGTGTACGACGTGCGCGTGACCGGCAAGCTGCTCGGCTACCTATCCCAACGCGACACCCTCACCAACAACAACAACCAGCGGATCAACTGCGACGTCTTCCCTGCCCAAAACGGGTTCGAGGTGTGGTCCGGCACGACGGATGGGACCGTCAAGGTCTGGGAGGGCGTCGGCGGCCGCGAGGGCCCGCACGAGCCGGCTTGGGCTTGGGATGCGCATGCTTCGACCGTGGGGAGCACGTGTGTGCATTCGAGCGGGACGGTGGTGGCGACGTGCTCTGGGGCCTGGGAGTTTCCTGATGAAGAGGAGGATGGTCGGGCTGGGAGCGAGAGTAGCTCTGATCCGGGCAGTGAGGATAGCGAGTATAGTGACGATAGTGAGAGCTCCATAGAAGAGATTCCCTGGATGCGAAGGCGGAACAAGGAAAGCAGTCTAAAGATATGGAGTATCGCGGATGGTCAAAACGGCGACAGGGCAGGAGAGCGGGAAGGGGATAGGGTCCCTTTGGAGTAGGTAGGCTATGATACCCACGATTCACGAAGGACGATAAGCCTCTGGCTGCTTAGAAGATTTCTACTTAGAAGGTTGCAATGCGATTCTGTATCTCTATTGACCAGTGAGTCAAAGGTGCCAAGCTATATGGTGTCAAGCTACATGGTATATTTGATGACAAAGGGCTTCAAATAGCCAGCAACATCTGTCCCCGGACCGCCAGTAGCCAGTTCTCATCGGTATTGTCGCCTTTCGTCTTACACTAGAAGCAGATTCGTGCTTGCTTATGTGGTCAAGGGGCCATGCCATGCCCTGGCGTGCCCATGCCGTGTGGAAAGGGGTAGAAGGGGAAGCGCCCCTTTTTGTGGCTCCATGCGTTTGTGGCATTGTTAGTAGTTTGGCGAGGATTTCCACTTGACCAATCGCAGCACGATCAAGGCCGATGAGCCCTATACATGTATCTTACCATAAGCTCGGTTGTCAACCCCATCGCGTCTCGAGCACCTTGTTGATCCTGTTAAGCACCCTGTGCCCGCCCATCAAGCGTCCGAACCTCTGCACGCGCTCAACCGGCGTCATTCGCAGGAGGGCCGGCAAGCCATGTGCAGCAAAGTCTTCTTCGGGAGTCCCGTCTGGTGCCTTGAGTCGTCCCAGTATCGCCTGGGCAGCATACGCATTCATACCAGCCCTGCGCAAGAATACCTCCCAATGTGTCTCGTCTTCGACCATCAAGTCTCGTATCTCGGCAGCTTCGGGCGCGTACCGTGCAGCGAAAGACACCATCCACTTTGCGAGCGTCTCCTGGCCGCCTCCAATATAATATACGTGTGCAGACATGTCCAGACTAGCAACGAAACCAACGAACTCGGCATATGCGGCGGTCTCGAAAGGGGTAAGATCGCGTGCAGTCTCATCGAACCGGTTTCCTTCGGAGACAAGTATAACCAGTCTTTCATAACGAAGCGCGATACTGCTTACACGCTCGCGGATAGCTGACTGACCCTTGTGTCCTGGATGGGGTTTCTGTATGGCTTCGAGGATGGTAGTCAGGATGATCCCCGTGGCTGGCGACACAATGATGTCGGCTTCCGCTGCAAGTGGTGATATGATAGGAGAGCGGGATATGGAGTGCCGATTCCAGGCGAGGGTGTTGAAGCGATCAAAGTCGCGCTCGATGATCTCTGCAGTTGGATATAACTTTTCGAGGCGAGAGAATAGACCGCGACTTACAGTCAGTGCCTTGATGATCTTTGTAGGTTCGTTCAATTGCCTCAACGGGGGACAGGGAGCACTTATTGCCGCCTTGGGCTCTTGTCCATTGTTTAATTCAATTGGAGTCGTCTTCGTCTTCTGTGTCGGTTTTAGGTCATTCAATGTTTGAGCTGGGGCTTCAGGTCTGGGAGAGGCTGAGAAGAAAGAGCTTTTCTCCTGTTTCTGCCGTTTCGCTGCATGCAAATTCATGTGGTTAGATAACAACGTCGCCACTGCGGAGGTATCATTGATCCCGAGTAACAAGTTTGGTAACCGGGCTCGGCTCTGAAGGGGGCCACGGTGGGACGTTGAAGATGGATGCGGGGGACATTGCACTAAATCGACTGACTCGAGTGAACTTGAGGATGGGATCATATCCATGGCCGTGCTGTCCATCTCCATGGCCGTGCCGTCCATCTCGGTAATTGAAATCTCGATCTCAAGTCGTCTTTTCCTCACGAGTGTCGTTAGGGCGTCTTCCAGTCCGGGAGTCTTCGCTGGTTCAAACTCTTCTTCGTCGTCCTCTTCTTCGCGCAATATCGCCAAACCAGGTTGTTTCCATACGTAGTCTGCACTTGTTGGCACCTCAGCGACATCTGAGAGGTGTAGAAGGTATTGCATGCTGCCATCGTCTTCTATCGACTCTACCAAAGAAACCTGACCGGCAGTGCTTGGGAACGGGAGCCAGGGAAGTTCTTGTTCGGTTCGAGCGTTTTTGGGCCAGCGAGTGACATTATCGAGTCCGTCAAATGTCTCTAGAATACACTGTAGGTGAGCAGAAGCATTCATGGGTAGATTTTTCCACTCGGGTTCCGGAATCGAAAAGTCCATATGAGGGATGTCGACCCGTACTAGGGCGTCTGCAACATCCAGGTTCTCTTGCTCGATACTTCTTATCACGCTCGCGGTATTGTCGCCCATTTTATCCAGAATGTCATCATCGAACGTGACGTCGTCATCTTGGTTTGCTGTAGATCCTGACCGTTCTGCCTGAGTATCATCCAGTATGCGATCCATATCCATACTTTTGGTAAGCTCTGGGAGGTTAAGGGGCATGTTGGACGAAGATGGAAGAGGGGACAAAGGCGCTTCGACCATGATCGAGCTGAGCTTTGGCCGTCCAGGGCTGAGGAAAGGGGTATCTCCCAACGGGGGTAACTCCGGGGTACTAAATTCCAGCCCGGTGGAATCACCTTCCTGGGCAGCATCCTCTTGAAACAGGTCTGCTTCGGCTGCTTTGCAATCGTCACTGAGCAGTGAGCTAGGATCAGATGTGAGAGGAACCTGACAAACGGTGTCATCTGGTATGAAGAATTCGGTATCTCGTAGAGGAGGGCTAAGAGGCGGTGTGACGCTTATCATTCGGAAAACCTAACGAGCATGAGTTCGATGTCCATATGACTAACTCTGGGCCAGTCAACAGAACTTGCCTTCCGGCGTGGTGCTGCGTCCACCAAAATCTGACGTTGGTCATCCTCGGTCCAGTCATCATGAAGAAACCGAGCCAGGTGATACAGTGCCTCCTTCGGGATATCCAGCTTCTCGTCACGAGTTGTGATGTCAAGTTGTTGCTTGAACTGGTAAGCAGACCTTGGGAAGTCTAGACTCTCATCAAGATCTGTATCGAGAAGCTCGGATGGTATTGTTGCTGGATCTATGCGGGAATATCTTTGGTGGTGGATGGCTCTGGCGAGCTCCCGGCAGTCGTAATCAGGGTCGCTCCGAAGCAACGGCGGTTCCAGTTTTAGTTTCGATATACGTACACGGGTCTCGTACTGGGTCGACTTAAAGGCTGCACCCTCTGCATCGTTGTTCCTCTGGATGACTTTGTTCGGCAGTTCTAGGGACTCTTTGGAGACATGCAACTGCTCGTTGCGATGATGGAAACGGGGAAGGCGGAGTTGACAAAGGGAGGCATCACTAGTCAAATTACTTGGCCTGATATCAGGAGTGGTGTGAGGAAGAGCATGACTGAGAAGAACAAAGGAGAGTGGATCGACTTGAGAGTCAACGGACAGACCATTCTCACGCGCATACTCGTCAGGCTGCGAGCTAACTTCGTCGTTGGATTGAACGAGAAGTTGGGTGTCTGGACCGTCCATTCTTGCTTGCAAGAACGCGATGACGATCAAGGAATTCCTCAAAGCATATCTGTCAACGCCGGCGTGATTGATAACCTACATTGAGCCGTGATATGGACAATTGGCATAGAGCTGAATTGATGGTCGGGTGATGGACAGAGAGTGCGTCCCGGGGCAGAGTGCACGCAGGGAAGGAAACAGGAAGCAAGTTGATTTGCACGCGCACGGACCAACACGCACGCAATCTCCCCCAACGAATGCTCCTTCCTCCCTTTCCGGAGTTTGCACCTCCTTCTCCTGCCCCCTTGGTTCCATTAGTCGCTCTTACAGAGACACATCAATAAATGAAATCTTGACCTCAGAACACATTGTCGGGCGCTTGATTAGCTAAAGGGTCTGTTGCATTGTTCTTCCGAAGGGAACAGTACCTTATGTATTCCAGGCAGCTCGGGCCGACCGGGCGGGCAGTTGGACCCGATTTTCCCTCCGTCTGATATCTGCCGGCGGTCATCTGACTGCGGTCCGAATCATGGTTCGTGGGCACATTTGGTCGTACGAAGCCTCAACTCGACCGCAATCCTACCAATGCGCCTCGACATTCAGGTGATGCTTCTGATGTACTAGGTGTAACCGAGAAACTGGCCTCTGTCGACACGAGGAGCAGCTGTGGTATACAGTTGCGCGCTTGCGCCTTGTCTACACGGGCAATTGTCCCAGAGCTCATAGGAAACCGATGTATAGCTGGGGCGCTGTACTGATTCCAACGCGCTGGACTTCCACAGCTTGCGCAATGTGGCTGACATTGGTGGTGCTTCTGATGCTAGGGCGGCATGGTTGATGATTGGGGCCACCACTATTGTTGTTGACGCGCTGCGAAAATGAAGCCTTGTCGTGCTTGCTTTTTCGCGTTCTCTTCTGGCTTGGCGGAAGCAGAGACCCTGTGCATAGATGGCTTGGGAACCGCGTCCAGCGGCATGTAAGTCAATGTTGATTGATGGTGGCATCAAGACATTCCTGGCGGTTGATCGCATAGTCTCTCATCAGCGCCATTCCGGGCATTACTTAAATGTCACTGTCCTCAACAAGTTGGAGGGACATTGCTGTGGTTACTCTTTTGGCTGTCTTCTGTGCACTTGAACGCCTCTCCTGCTTCTCTTGCCTCTCCATTGTCGCGAGAATGGCTTTACGGGGTCTTATTGCCCGCGGAGTCCCCGCCACTCCCAAGTTCCTGATCTACGTCAAGGGAGCAATTATTCTGCTCTCTATTATCATTCTGGCGCTAGCTGCGTACGCGATATCGCTCTATAGCGATGGTTCTTATCAGTACTCGACCGGTATGCCAGGCTTTTTGATCTTCCTCGTAAGCTACTCCAGGGACCGCAAATCGCTACTGGTGAGACATGGTATCTAACATTGACAGGCAATTCTATCACGGCTTGTCTACGGTATTTCCGCTGCAATCGAGCTCAAGGCACCTAGGTTCTACTACCGTATCGTCGTACTTGTGGCCTACTTCCTGACCACCGTCTTCTGGCTGGCAGGCTGGGCCTGGGCCGCATCCTGGGCTGCATATATCCTCTCTTTCAACAGCGCCTATCCGGAAGGCGTCCAATAGGGACATTGGAAGACCTTCGGGTCGGTTATGGGAGCGTGTGCTGGCCTCGGGGCTCTGGTGTGGATTCCGTCCATTGTCATACTCGGTTACTTCTGCCGCGCCTGCTTGCGGACGCCGGCCACATCGAACGACGTCGAGCTCGGTACAGCTCACAAGCAACCGGGATCTCCCTATAAGGCCACATCTGCGCAGGGGGAAAGCTATGCCGAATAACCGCTCTATGGCGGTCAGCCATCCGTAGCTACACCAGCAACGCGTCTCTGATCACAGCACCAGGCAAAGGCTTCACCATCAGACCTGACCCAGACACTCAGTGCATTGCGCAACAGGCTATGACGAGGAGTGGTCTGATGGGGCAAGCAGGGAAGTTGGGGTGCTGTCACCTATGATGGTATGGACTCGAAGGATCTGAGAACACGGTGCCGATGCCCTGCATTATGACTACAACCTCTCATCGACATCCCATATCTATCAGAGCTCGTGCTACCACTGCTACCTAGTTGTTTCTCTAGCAATGAATGAAAACATCCTAGTTGCTTGCTCAGCCTGTGTACATGGTGACATGCCCCCCTCACGAATACATCGTCACGCCTCTACCCACCACAAATAACCTCAAGCATATAATATCCAGTGTCGTAGCCTTGTCATAGCTACCTGACAAACATCGATGACGGGATCTGGAAACTGCCCCGGTGACTTGTGAGAATCCCATCCTGACAGCGCTCGAACGGTCCCCCTGAGCCATAGTCGATTCGCCAGTTGGCAAACCATCGTGACTACTGCTTTGATACCGGATGTTGCTACTCGTGTCATATCTACCTTGCTCGAAAGCTCGGTGAGACTTCAATTCACGCTCAAACAACCGCACCGTCCGCATTTCAGATCATTGGGTAGGGGGCACGGACAAAGACTTCCTCAGACGCCACCCGAGGCAGAGAACATCACTAGATAGTGAATCAACGAGCATATTTGCTTCTTTGACTAGACAAACTGTGGATACGGGATCCATTGAGTACGACGTCCGCATCTTTCACGTTCAGGGGTATCTACAAGCACACCACCGCCATCTCCACCCACGCAGCTGCTGTGAACCCTCGGGAAACACCATGACTTGGAGGCAATATAGAATCGGTTAATTTTACTCTTTCTAGCCTCATAGGGGTGCGATTTCGGACACGGAAACTGGTGGTGGGACTCTCTGACGAGGTCTGTGGACCGAGAAAATGGGGGCGGTATCCAGGAGTGTCACAACGCCCACCTCGGCCACGCCGGCTGCCCAAACCATCAGGAATCATCATGACTTGGAAGCAATATAGAATCGGTTAATACTATTCTATTTAGACGTAAAGTGGTGCGATTTCGCACACTAAAACTGGTGCTGAAAGTCTCTGACGAGGTCGGTGGGCTGAGAAAATTGCTGGGGTATGCTTTGTCCACGCTCAGAGGATTATCCAGGAGCGTCACAACGCCCACCTTGGCCACACCAGCTGCCCCAAACCATTAGGAATCATTATGGCTTGTGATCTGTCTGATATTACGCCTAAAACTGGTGTGATTTCGGACACGGCAAAGGCCCATGACAGCCCCTGACGGTATCCTAGGATGAGTTGTTCCAATGGGAAGCCCTGGGTTGAGGGGACAACTCAGAACAAGCCGTTTGTATTCACGCTCGCCGCAAGACTGACACAAACACTCTACTGACGTCCCATAACTCATCACAGTAATTGCCTTCTCGATCGCCGAGATTTTGTCACCTTGAGCATGGTCGAGTCTAGGAAATTGACTCGTTCGAATATAAAAGGGCGGTTTCCCCCTCTAGATCTAACTCTTGAATCTATCCATCCTCCACTCGAAAACACCAAAGACAGAGATGATCATCGAGCAGACAGCCGCTATCTAGCTTCATAACGGGCTTCTCAGAAGCATCCCTCGGCGATTCCCTTTCTTCTTGATGCTTGCCCTCCTCGGATCGTCACCCGCGCTGCCTTCGCGTCCTGCCTCGGCCTGTCGACCATCGCGGCCAACACCACCCACCAGGACGCCCACGCTCACGATCCGGCAAGTCGACGCTGCCACAGCCCAATCTGCTCCTGATCTTCATCATCTCCCCTGTCTCCGTTGAGGTCTACCAGCTTTTCTCAACTGGCTCGACTACAGTGCTGGCACTGCGACCTGTAGACCCCAATCCAGAGCTATACAGCTCTGACCCACCCACCCCCTATCCATGACAAGCTTCTGACTCGGCAGCAGTGTCCTCGAGGACAGTCACTCATTTGGCCCCTACGGCATCACACTCGTTCACACCTTTCCTTTGTCTCTTTCTAACATGATACCCACGCAGCTGGCCTGCCTGCCCTCTCTTGAATACATAATGCCTAATGTAATGAGGTATGCCTCCCTACCCCTTTGCCCTTCCTGCCTGGTGATGCTCACACGCAGCCAGTCCATGCAACATACACTCCCTCAGCCTCGACGGCATCACACTCATTTGAACCTTCCCTTCGTCTTGTTCAACGACCATAGACAACGACCATAGACACGAAGACCACCGGCTGGCCTACATCACCTCGAACATATTCCTAAGCCATACACCTTACTCGTACACCTAATCCATACACTTAATCCATACTCCTAATCCATACTCCTCATATGTGTTCCTAATCTAATGAGGTATGTCTTCTCACCTTCCGCCTTGCCTCGTGTCCCTAACAGGCGCCCAGTCCATGCGACACACTCTTCGTCAATCTCGACGGCTTCACACTCGTTTGAACCTTCCATTTGTCTTGTTCCACCAACATGGACACGAAGACCACCGGCTGGCCTCTCCCACCTCGAATCTATTCCTAATCCATATTCATAATCCATATTCCCTATTCCTAATCGATACTCCTAATCGATATTCCTAATCTAATGAGGTTTGTCCTCCCACCCTCTGCCCTTCCTCGTGTCTCTGACCAGCGACAAGTCCTTGCGACACACTTTCCGTGAATCGCGACGGGAACACACTCCTTTCGAAATTCCCCCTTGATCTTCAACTGTGGAGACAGCGGCGCTGGCGCCACTCTCATGATTCGAATAACGCCTAATGAGGTACTGTTCTTGACCGCCCTTCCCTCACCACTCATCTCTAACCAATCCTCGACCAGTCCTGACGACACGATTTCACTTAGCCCCTGCGGCACCGCACATACACTCATCCCCTACGGCACTACACTCGTTTCCAACCGGTTTACCCTGGCGGTAGGACCAACAATAATGTGTAATCCTAATTGGCTACGCGCTCTGGGGCTTATGAGCCCCAGATGGTTCATGAGCCTCTGGAAGGTCATGACTGAACGTAAGTACCAAGCCCTTCCTGCTCTGGACAACTCACTCCCCATGACTCATAAGCGACGCTGACTTGCCACCGCTCTTCCACCAGCACCCCGAGCACAGCAACACAGCGCAGTTGCCGATACTCGTCTGGGTCCAACCCGCCAACCACCTCCCCGTCACAGAGGTGGACCCTTTGGGCCCAGACGAGTAAAAGTTGCAAAGAAGACCCCAGCCCAACCTGGCAACCCGACCGGCTCGACCGAGTGACCATTGACAGCTCGAAGGAAGTCAAGCCAGTGGCGGTACCATGCTGTGTAAGTCGTCGACCGGTCGCCCGCCCGACCTCTTCCAACACCACCACTAACACAGGAACAGTCGAGTCCCCAGTATCAAACACCATGTGCCATCTGATCCACGAAGCCTTCCTTCATGCCTGCAATCACACAGTCCGCACCCTCGAGCACTACTTCCAGAACGTCGAGAGCCAGCGATGGTCCCCCCACGCCGACGACCCCGGGTGTCAATTGTGCGAAGGCCGCCAAGGTAAGCGAACAGATCCCATTGCTATGCTGATCATACGAAACCACTACCTATTCCTGCCCATGCCCATGCCCATGTATTTCCCCCCTCTATAACCCTTCCCGAATAAGTCAAACCATTCCTGAACACCATGCTAACATAACCCAATGAAATACAGACTCAACCGAAACATCCCCCGACCAGACGCAACCCCCTCCCAACCAGATGGTCCAGACCCGTACCCTGCCACGACCGACACAATGGGCGGCAGGCTATGGAACCTCCCCCATCAGCGACAAATCCGAGGAGACCTCTCTCTTCATCGAGGAGGCCGAGGAGGATGTGAAGGACGAGAAGATCGAGGAGGACGAGCTGGAGGCTGGGGATGATGATGACGATGACTACTCTGAATGGTGTTCATCGCCCAAGTCACCTTCATCGATCGTCCGCGCCGCCCAGCAAATCCAGTCCGAAGCCCTCTTCAGGTGTGGCCGTGGCCAACTCGCCAAAGCGCGCGGGTATCGACCGCGCAAAGCCGGAGAAGTCTTGGGACCAGCTCGCCAGGGACATGCAGCGCACTATGGGAAACCAGGCCAAGCGAACATACAGCGGCACAATCACGTCTGGCGCGACGACCTCTTTCGCTTCCGATCGGCGGGCTTCAAATGATAGTCTGGCTCAAACCCAGCATCGTCATCCTCGCCCAGATCGACCTCGTCGTCGCCCTGCTGCTCGAGTCCCCGGGCGATTATCGTGTCCGCGAATCCCCCCGATATGCCCGTGTTCGTCCAGCCCGACCGGTATCCCGATCCTCGATCCTGGCCCTGTCCGTGCTGTTGGTGTGGGTGTGAGAAGGAGGACTGCGGCACCGCCCTGCTGCTACTTGTCGGCAACTCCGACTCCGGGTAGGCAGACCAGCCCTGGTAGTTTCCGCCGAAGTTTCCCGCGGAGCTGCCGTTGGGGTACATGGTGAAGTCCCTGTCGAAGTTCGGTTCCGGTACACCGCTGCGATCACTGCCAACACTACCGCTGACCCCCGCGCCATGGTCGTCCTGCATGCCGAAGTTCTGAGCCGGCACACCGCTTCCCACGCCGCTGCTGCCACTCGCGCCCTGCCCGTTCTGCCTGCCGAAGTTCTGAGCCGGCACACCACCGCCGCCGCTGCCACTCGTGCCCTGCCAGTCCATGCCGTCCAGGTCCTGTCCCTGAGCCGACTCGCCGCCCGTCCCGAAGTCGAATGCGTCGAGGTCAGGGTCCGGCACGCCATTGTTGTCGCCGCCTTTCGACGCGGCCTTCAGCATGGCCCGCCAATCCCAATCTATCGGGGGCAGCAAGCCATCGGTCCTGACCATGCCTTCGCCGGTGCTGCGGGGGTCATTGACGCTCTGACTCTCCACATTCTGGGTCGGGAACGTCAGGCCACCTGAGGCAGAAGCGAGACCGGTGCTGCGGGTCGAGGGTGCGGGCTGTGTGGTTGCAGCCCTGGTGGTGGGTTTCGTGGATGAGGTGGCACATGGTGTTTGCTGGTGTTGGGCCTCGAGGGCTGTCCGACCCTGGCCGGTACCCTCGCCATGGTACCCATCGCTCCAGGCCGACTTGTCTCTTACCCAGCCCTGTGGTGTGTAGGTGCTGCCAGCGTCTCCGTTGGCCTGCGACCCGGAACTGCCCTGAGCGCCGAATTGAGAAGCAGCCGGGTTCGCCGCAGCATACTGGTTCGAGGCCGCAGAAGGGTTTGAGGCGGCGGCGTAGTTCAAGGCAGGCTCAGCAGACGGGCCACCGACGTCCCCGACGGGGATCATGGTGTGCTCCTCCAGGAGCTGCATCCCCTGCAGCGCCCGGAGCTTGTTCATCTCCCGCCTCAGCCCATGGTTCTCGGCGCGCAGGCCCTGGGTCTCCTGCACAAGGGTGGACGGTTTGGCGCCCCCGATCCTCAGCGCACGGTTCATGGTCGCCAGCTCGTTGTTCTGGCGCTTGAGGATTCGGATCTCGTGCTCCTGGTCCTCGATCAGCTTGGCCTTGCGCTCGCGGCTGATCCGTGCCGAGTAGTTGTTCTTGGCCCGCATGAAGAACTTGCGCTCCTCGGCCACCAGCATGTTGTGCGCGTTGTGGCGCTCCATCTCCTCCCGGGTCATGTCGCTTGTCAGCTGCGTCATGACGAACGGCGGACCGTACTTGCACACCGGCAGCCCCTCGCCGTACTTGGACACCTTCTTGGGCTGGGGCTGGGCCGGCTTCTTCGGTACTTGCTTCGGCGCCTGTGCCTGTGCCACGGCCTTGCCCTTGCCCTTGCCCTTGCCCTTGCCCTTGCCCAAGTTGTTTATGTTGTTCCGGTTCGGGCCCGCGACGGAAGGGTTGAACGAGGAGGAGCTGGCCATGGCTCCGATGGTGAGGGCGCTTGTGGGGTTGTTGTTGGTGGTGGCGGGTTGGTAGAGGTTGGTGGGCAGAGAGTAGTCGTCTTCCTCTGCTTGCCCACCGGGGAAGAGGCTAGGCTGCGTGTACTCGTTTGCAGCCTGGTTGTTGCCCTGGCTGTTGCCCTGGCTGTTGCGGGGGGTCTTCTTGCCGCTGGTTGTGTTGTTGTGTGCGGAATCCGTTACGATAGCGTAATCGTAGTCGTAATGGGATATTACTCTTTGGAGGTGTGAGGTAACGGACGTGAAGTGAGTTGACTGGACTGCTAACGAAGTAAACTGTCCGGGTTGGTAGGCAACGAAGTGAGCTGTCTCGGTTGATATTGAGGAGAGCTGTGTGGGTTGATAGCTGTGTGAGCTGGGTGGGTTGGTAAAGATGGTGTATTGTGTTGGTTGATAACTGAGTGAACTGTGTGGGTTGGCTGGTAAAGCTGTGGTATTGTGTTTGGTGAGCTGTCTGGTGTCTGGGTTGATGAGGAAGTGATGTTGGAGGATATTCGAGGAGTTCTCAGGCAGTATTTATAGTCGTTCTGGCTCAGTATTCACCTGCGTATTCGAGTACTTGCCGTGATACTGAACAGTGAGGTGGTATAGCAGATCACCAGACGATTTGCGTGATTATCATAGAGAGCAGGACCGTGTGTGCCATTATTCAGGGGTAATACTTGCACTGGACTGATTGACAGAACATTCCCCAAACACGAGCTTTCCTGGCTTTGGACGATGGCCCGACTGCAATAGACTATCGCAGACTTCAGTTACAGGCGGGTATGCCAGACTCGCTGTGGTCTGCTGGTCCCGAACCGACACTAGACATCAGATGCCCGAACCTATCCCGGAGCCGCAAGCCGGCCACGATGGGGCACAAGGTACCTTGCAACAATGACAGGCCCTCGGCCATGTGAATGTCCAATGTTTGCTCCGGAAACTCACCGACCATCTCGACCGGAGCAACTGACCTGATATTCCCCGTTGTCCCTGAAGACCTTACGTAAATTGGCACACAGTGGCGAAATCAAGTGATTCAGTGAAGCGTCTCGTGCGTACTTTCGCAGCCATACTGTTACTCTTCAGAAGTGTGGAGACCTCCTCAATGCCTGCTCCCCCCTTTCCTGTGCCCAAACAACAGAAACAGGCACAGTCACCTTGCCTGCAACTGATCTCTTGTGCCACAAGTGGAGTATCATGACTGTAAACCCTCTGACAGCAGGAAGGAGATCACCACAGTACTCGGGTGTACTTTGAAATCTCAAGGAATGAATCGTCCACTGTCTTTACACTGTACGGGCCCTACTGGGTGTGCTGCATTGGTGTGCTGCATTGAAGCTTATAGCTCGGATGGCAGGCACACTGGGTTAGCTGTGTCCAGGGACAAACAACTGCCTAGGTATCCATACTGATCTCTGGCGATAGACTACCCCTAGAGCAGCTCGAGTCACCAGGGATGGCGGGCAATGTCTTAAACTCTTCTATGTGAACAATGGAAGGTACGTGGATGCCCCTCTTCCGGCTACTGATATGTGACTCGCAAGATTGCCCGGTTCGCTTGTTGAAACTTTGCGGGCAGTAATCCAACATGATTATTAAACCGTGTGCAGTCACGTTTGCTGAGTGTTCTCGAACGTATCTGAACCAATGATCATTCGTGCATGTGTTCTGGCATGCTGCCAGGGTGACACTGGGTTTCTGTCTTGGACCTGAGAAATAATCAAGTAAGTTCAATGACCAGCAAGATGCTCATGGTCGGTAGAGCTATCAAGGGGTGATATCGCCCTCGCTGCTTGACCTCGAATGCTAATGTGGGCAGTTTCGACCCTCAGTCACTATTTCGACGCGAAACGTGACAGATGGCACGCAAGCCACAGTGGCTTTTAAAGAGGTGGCAGTGCACCAGCAAGGCATTTAACCGTTTTAATATGCTATAACATTCTAGCAGTAACGTGGATGACAAGCGAGCGGCAATTACAAGCGAACGGCAACTTTTCACCAGCCACCTAACCTTTCAATCAAGGCTCCTAATTGATCAACCAACAATAATGGCATTGCGTTATAACGAATCAGACTTACAGCTTGCTGTCCAAACTAAGCGACGCGGCCCTCATATTACCATTGACAAGCTTTCTAAGACTTTCCATGTCCCATATAATACCTTGAAGGCTAGAATCGCCGGCCGACCATCATGACGCGATAGCATACCCAATACTTTGAAACTTACGGTTTCCGAAGAGAATGCCATTCTTTCCTTTATTCTTGACCTGGATGCACGAGCATTTCCACCCCGGCACAGTTATGTTGAAGATACGGCAAATCAATTGTTGGCAGCGCGTGGGGATAGATGCATTAGAAAGAACTGGACGCAGAACTTCATTAAACACACACCAGGCCTCCGGACGCGTTTTCATCGGAGGATGGACTACCAGAGGGTCTTGAACAAATATCCAGATGTGTATCGCGCGTGGTTTTGCCAAGTTGCGGCGGCAATCGCGAAACATGGTATCCAAGACGCGGATATTTATAACTTTGTGAGACTGGATTTATGATGGGTATTATTGGGTCCGGCATGGTCATTATAAGTGCAAAAAGACGTGATAGGCCTAGACAAGCTCAGCAAGGCAACAGGGAATGGTCTACAGCAATTTCTGCTGTCAATGCTGATGGTTGGGTGGTCCCGCCGCTCATCATTCTACAGGGCAAAACCCACCTCGCGTCATGGTATTGCGACACGACATTACCACGCAATTGGAAGGTGGCTGTGTCTGATAACGGTTGGACTAAGAATAAGATTGGGTTAGAATGGATTCAGCATTTCGACAAGTATACCAGACCGCGTATGACTGCCAGTAAACGCCTCCTCATTCTAGATGGTCACAAAAGCCACTATTCCCAGATCTTTGAGGATTATTGCTAGAACAATAGCATTATTACCCTTTGTATGCCTGCCTATTTGTCACACAGGCTCCAGCCTTTAGATGTCAGTTGTTTTAGCCCGCTCAAACGAGCGTATAGTCGCATGATTAAGGATCTCATCCGGCGTCATATAACCCACTTTTCGAAGAAGGACTTCCTTACAACATTTTGTAAAGCATACAACGCTGCTATGACGCCAGGAAATATTCAAGCAGGTTTCAGTGCCACTAGGCTTGTTCCTTTCAACCCAGAAATTGTCATTTTAAAGCTAGATGCTGTCGCTGTCGTACAAACACCGTCCCCAGACCCCAATCTGCCACCCACTACTTGGACTTCAAAGACGCCTATCACCATCAACGAAGCGGTAAACCAGTCGGTTTATATCCGAAATTGAGTCAGAAACCACTAGAAAAGCTCATCTATATCAATAGTTGATGCGTTGAGCGCATTTTCAAAGGCTATATACGGTCTTATGCACAAGGTCGCTTTGGTTGATTCCCGGGTCCGCGAGCTAGAGGAGGCCAATCACCTACTAAGTAAACGCAAGAGGACATAAAACAAACGTCTAGTGAAAAGAGGAGTACTTCTGTTGAAAATGCAGTAGGTCTCCAGACTGTAAAGGATGGTGATGAGCTGGCAAGACAGGAAATGCGTGAAGGTAGTCGTTGTCCGAGGAGGGCGGCAGCGCGTGAGCAACGTTGTGACGTTTGCGGCAACACTGGCCATAATGCGCGAACTTGTACAATAAAGATAGAAACATCTGAAGAAGAAGAATCCAATTGATTAGATTGAATTAAATGCGTTGTGGTCGAGTTATTTGACATATTGCTTGAAAGGTTGGTGAAAAGTTGCCGTTCGCTTGTAATTGCCGCTCGCTTATCATCCACGTTACATTCTATATATAACAATAATCTATTCAAATTATAAAAATATAAAGTTTTTAATTATAAAAACTTTAATTATATTACTCAATAATTATAAGCTTAAATTAACAATTTTTTCTTCAATTGACGACTTTTTTATAGCTATTTTTAATTAAATTAAATTACTTATTATTAGTTTAAACTTATATTTATACAAAAAATATGATATATAAGGCGATTAATAATTTTAAGATAGCTATTTAATACGTGTCACCAGGGGGAGTGGCACGGCGAGCGTACTGAGGAGCTGGGACATGGCCGGCAGCAAGCAGCTATTACTCCATTGACAAGAATATCAAGACTAGAGAAGAAAGGAAGAGAGAGAGAGAGAGAGATAGGTACAGTGGGAGGTTGCCCCTTTAAGGGCATCCTCTAGTCAGATCCTTTCCCTATTGGGAAGTATCCGCTTGTCATGTAGGAAGGTCTGTACAGGCCGTCACAGGGAGTAGCTAGTGTGGCTGTTACAGCCAAAGTCACTGACACAGCCACTGGTGTGTGGGGTCAGATATTGTGTGAGTGGACCTAGATAGCTAGGGCTAGACTAGTTAGATAAGGGCTGGACTAAGATAAGGATTGCAGCCACTATAAGTAGCTGCAATCTGTTGAATGGGAGCCGGAAATAGACACCGGAAGATCTCCAGTGGGGCAGAGACACACAGGGCATCTGACCCACCAAGAAGACAGATGATCAATCTCTGTACGCTGAAGAAGCAGAAAAGAACAAGCACAAAAACAGAAGACACTTAACAACCTGGATAATCTGAACTCGCTTGCATCTGACAATTAAGAGTCTCATTTGCTCTGAAAAGAGAACACCTACAAAAGATCAAGTGATTTTTAGATCTACATATCACTAATATGACAACACCAAACAACGATCGCACTATCTTCTCTCGGCCCGAAGACTGGGAACGATTCAACGCCGAACTCCAGACCAAAGCCGTAGCCTTTGACCTCTGGGATTACATCAATCCAGAAGACAAGGTTGCTTGGCCGACACAGCCAGAAGAACCCTCATACACCAATTACCCGAAGAAGCTCGGCCGAGGAACGAGAACATCAAGCTTGATAACCGTCGGTGGAGAAGAAGAATTGGTCGACCCGAATGGAACGCCAACAAACACCATAGAAATGACACAGATTGGGAGATCGGCATATACCCAGGATTGGAATCACTACACCCACAAGAGCAGGGAATACACAGAACATCGGAAGAACGTCAAATCCATGACCGATTGGATGCTGAATACCGTTCAACAACCATACCGAGCAACAATCTACAAGGCCACAAAAAAGATCGACCAGTGGTATAAGGATCTCCAGGACATTGGGGACGTATATACATCCCGCCAGAAGCCGGAGGCTCGAAACCGATACCGACGGGCGACGACACATCTCACGAAGATGCCGAAAGACCTGGGAGCATGGATATCGCAATGGGAAACTGCCGTTGCGTATGCTATAGAAAAGGGGATGCCAGAAGCTATCGATTCAAATTCAGTGGCCACAGATCTGATAGATGCATTATCGTCAGTAATGGGCGACTGGACGACAAGCTTCAGAATGGGGCACAAGAAGGAAATCAACGACGGCTCTATCAGCTACATAGAGATGGCAGGGCTTCTGCGAGAATACGCCAAAGACCATCACCGAGCAACAGCACCACAGATTGCCAAGGGCGTATTCGCAGCTACCTATGGATATGACGAAGATGTGTCAATAGAAGACACAAAAGAGCTTGATTCCACCACTTCTGATCCATTGCCCCCAACAGACAAAACGAAGGGTCGAAAAGGAAACCAGGAGAGACCACGTGGACGCGGGACGAGAGGAGTTCGAACAGGCTCCAAGCGAAGACGAGCCGACACAGAAACGAATCCAGATGGGTCTATCTACAAGGCGTGCCTAGGATTTCACGATATAACCCAGTGTTATTATGTTATTGACGGGAAGGCACCAGAACATTGGCATCCAAACGAAAGATACCGGAAAGTTATCAACCAGCGAATCAAGGAAGATATTGCCCTCAAAGAACTGATCAAAAGAATTAACCGGAAGCCAACACCCGTCAAGCCCGAATGACTAGTGCAGACAATGGGTCAGATAAAGGCCGCCTTCCTTACAGCCAACGCTGCCGCGTTCAGTACTGCCACATATCCATTGAGGAACTCAGCAATCCTGGATTCTGGGACCACCTTACACATATTCAACATGATCAGCAGGTTTTTAAACTTCCGGTCGGCGATTCAGGGTGATGCAGTATTTGCAGGAGACACAGTAGTCCCTATCCTAGGCTACGGAGATGTCGATATATGCATTACTGGCCCTTCTGGGTCAAGAATTATGCGCTTACACGATATGGCATTCTGTAAAGGCTTTGCATGCAACCTGATATCATTCTGACTTCTCAAGCGCTAGGGGTACTGATGGGACAACAAAGGAAGCAATAATTATCTTTGGAGGAAGGATGATTCGATCCTCTGCGAGCTGACGGATCGGCATGAGCAATACGTGATTGAATATTTGCCTGAGTCTTTGACAAGACGTGCATTCTTTATCCAAAGGAAGAAATACAACTCATGGACCGAGAGGGCGCCTTGCACTGCCGATAGCCGCCGATGGCACCTCAGATTAGGTCACCCAGGGCCAGATGCTCTTGATCACCTTGTAGGCCACTCTCGGGGGGTGAAGATCAAGGACTCAAAGCCTAGAGATTCAGCAAGAGAACGTATCACAACCGTGAAATGTGACGCATGTGCCTGCAAGAAGGCCAAGAAGCAAAAGAGACGTACACGGCGGGATAGACCTAGGAAGCCCGGAGTCTGCCTAGCAATCGATTTCCACGACCTCGACAGAGATAGCGACGGACTGAACAGCATCATGCTTATTATCGACAGATGGTCTGGATATATCTGGGACTTCTATCTGAGCGACCGAAAGACGGATACGCTTATAGCAACTTTTGAGTTGCTATTCGGGATTTTGGAGCACCAGAATCAGGTCAAGCCGGAGGTGATAGAATGTGACAACGAGCTCATGACCCAGAAGCCTCGTGTGTATCAGTTTCTCACCATGACCAAGAAGATGAAGGTGGAACCCTCAGCGCCTAACACACAAGACCAGAATGGAGGCGCCGAGCGCTCGGGGGGTGTGATTAAGGACAAGGCCCGTTCGATGCAAAATGGAGCCAAGTTGCCAACATATCTGTGGGTTGAGATCTTCCGAACAGCGGTATACCTATACAATCGTACCCCTAAGTACATCTATAACTGGATGACTCCTTATGAACGTTTCTACACTTACCTGGGATACAGAGATGGACTTGTAGGAGACCAAAAGCCCAAGCAGGGACACCTCCGAGTATTTGGATGCAAAGCATTTGCTTTGACAAGCGATGCGCAGCTAAAGATACAGCGGAAGAAGCGGCTTAATCCAAAGGCTTGGATCGGCTACCTCGTCGGTTACAATTCAACAAACATCTACTGAATATGGAATCCCTTAACCAACAAGGTGATAGCTACTCGAGACGTCATCTTTGACGAAGATCAAATGTTCAGCGGAGACCTCCAAGATTTGAAGGATGACCTCCTTCACGTATCTGAAGAAGAGCTAGTCAAGCTACTACATGACGTGGAAGTACCTGGTGCTTCCAGTCTTGAAACTGGTCCCGCTATCAGCGAAGAGGATGAGGATGTCAGTCTCTTCATTGCAGAAAGTGATGAGCGCGGTCGAGTAAAAGGGAGCGATGATGTGGTGAATTCGGACGTACATGGACCCTCTGACGAGGACTCTGGAGAAGCGTGTGAGCCTGATCAACTCTATACAAACGTTTTCTTTATACCGTATCCGACGCCCGAACACACTCCTCCTTCTGTAGCTTCACTTTTTACTGCAGCTATCAGAGAAACTGGCAGTACAGGGACAAGATCTGCAGCTATGAGCGCGGCCCCTGTGTTGTCCGGGATGACCATAGAGTCGTCCTACATTGGAGTGACACCACGCTTAAGCTGCTGGGAGGCCACGTTCAATGCAGGATGCCTAAGCGCCGCAGAGGTGAAGCACAGTGAGCCGGTGAGCAAGGCTAAGAAAGCCCGGATGGTAAACCGTCCGAAACGCCACCCTGATAGCACACAAACTGGACAAATTGGACTGCCCCAGGGATCTTCAGACCTTGAGAGGCTCAAAAGAAAACTTGCTAGTGGAGCTAGAATCCACCGGAGCGAGCTCCCATTACTACCGAGAACTCACAAGGATCTACGAGACCACTGGATAGGTCAGGGGTTCAGAAGTGCAGAGCGAATGCATCTCCAGAGCCACCATGAGATGAGCTCATGAAAAGAAGTCGAGACAAGCACAGCTAACGGCAAACAGGTGTTAGACTGCATGTGGGTATACGTCTACAAGTTCGACAAGCACGGCTGGTTCCTGAAATGCAAAGCCCGTCTTGTGGTACGAGGGGACCAGCAGCCCACCGGACAGACCGAGAACACCTATGCGTCTACACTTGCCGGCCGTTCCTTCAGAACACTAATAGCTATAGCAGCTCGCTTCGACCTGGAACTGATACAGTATGATGCTGTAAATGCATTCGTCAACGCCAAACTAGACCAGGAGATATATATGAAGATGCCCCCAGGGTACCGGAAGCCAAGAGTATTGCTTCGTCTCTTGAAAGTCCTCTATGGGTTGCGAGAATCCCCTCTCTTGTGGCAAAAAGAGCTGACCAAGACCCTCACAAGTATCGGATATACTCCCGTACCTTATGAGCCATGTTGCTTCACAAGAAATGGAATTCTTATATTCTTTTATGTAGACGACATAGTGGTTGCGTACAAAAAAGAGAAAGAAGCTACAGCCAATCATCTGATCAGTCGGCTTAAGATGACCTACCAGCTTACTGGAGGAGATGATCTTCAATGGTTCCTTGGCATCGAGATCATCCGAGACCGGAAGAGACGGCTCCTCTGGTTATCTCAGTCATCGTATGCAGAGAAGATATCCCGACTAGCTGAGAAGGCTTGGACAGGCAGAGACAATACTCTCATGAAGAACAAAGAACTTCTCCCCTTCGACGGAATAGCCACGCTAAAATCTATCCACAGATATCAGAAGAAGATTGGATCTATTCTGTATGCTGCCGTGATCACACGCCCAGACGTAGCCTTTGCGGCTTCTCGACTATCACGATTCAATATAAATCCTAGCCCAGAGCACCATTCCGAAGCAGATCGACTCATTCGATACCTCTCTCGAACTTAACATCTTTCCTTACAATACGGCAGGTCAGACACGTTCGAAGTAGCTAGCGACGCCTCCTTTGCCGACAATTCCATCGATCGAAAGAGTTCACAAGCATACGTCATGAGACTGTTCGGAGGGATTATTGGTTGGCGAGCGAACAAGCAAGCTACAGTGACTACTTCCACCACGGAAGCGGAGTTGTTGTCCCTTACGCAGGCTGCTAAAGAAGCCATGTTCGTCTCCCGCCTAATCCGCGAACTTGGAGTCCAGCTTGATAGCTTTCAAATCATCATACACTGCGATAATAAGCAGACGATCGGCCTCGTCAATAAAGACATCACTAAACTACAGACCAAGCTGCGTCACGTTGATATTCACAATCATTGGCTACGACAAGAAGCTCAACGGAAGAGGATCAAGGTGGAATACATTCCTACTGGGGATATGATGGCAGATGGTTTGACGAAAGTACTCCCTGCCGCAGCATTCAGAAAATTCACGAGGCAATTAGTACTCGTGGATATAAGAGATCGGATACAGCAACGACGAACCAAAGAGCTCTCGGATGAAGATCTTCAACATATGGAAGATCTATTGCCCGGTGGAGAATGTGGTGATGTGTACCTATCACAGGAATCATCAGAGAACCAGACCAAATGCTCAGGAACAACCCCAATGGAAGGAATTGTTCCTGGGGGGGTGTGTTGAATGGGAGCCGGAAATAGACACCGGAAGATCTCCAGTAGGGCAGAGACGCACAGGGCATCTGACCCACCAAGAAGACAGATGATCAATCTCTGTACGCTAAAGAAGCAGAGAAGAACAAGCACAAAAACAGAAGACACTTGACAACCTGGATAATCTGAACTCGCTTGCATCTGACACAATCCTTCCCATTTTATTCCTTGCAAACGACGCCCGCACACATACATCAAATTGACACCCATTGCACAACGTATTACTATTATAATATTGAAAAAAATAAATTTTTATGATGTAAAAGATTAAAACATTTAATACAAAAACTTGATTAACATATTTTTTCAACTTTTTAAAAATATATTAACTGTAAAATCTAAAATTTAATGCTTTTCCCTCACTTTTTAGCGCCTTTAATTTTGAAAAGTTATTCAGTTAAAATCGATAATTTATAAGTTAAATATATTATTGTACGTAAGTCAATTATTTAATTAAGTAAGAAGACTATACTTATTATATAGTAGAGTCCTTTTTATCTTATTTAGTTAGCTGTATTTCAACTATTTAAAGCACCTACTTATAATAAGTCTCTTTAATGACCTGTATTGAAATGTCGGGCATAACAGAAGACCTAATTATCTTTAATTATAATAATAAAGCTTTAAAAGTTTAACTAATTAAAAGGTTTAATTTTAGGTATAGCCTCATAGATCCTGTGACAGCCTGCACGGACCTTCCCACATGAGAAGCCGATACTTCCCAATAAGGGAAGGATCTGAACAGAGGATCCCCTTAAAGGGGCAACCTCCCGCTGTACCTATCTCTCTCTCTCTTCCTTTCCTCTCTAGTCTTGATATTCTCGTCAATAGAGTAATAGCTGCTTGCTGCCGGCCATGTCCCAGCTCCTCAGTACGCTCGCCGTGACAAGAACTATCTGACACATGCCCATCCAACACTCGTCCATCCGACACGCGTCCATCCGACACGCACACACAAACAACGCGCAGATTCCTTGCGCACGTCTTTCGCAATTTCGATTCATCACGCTCACTGCGTCCAACTTCAACAAGATGTCCGACACAGGCAGCACACAAGACCCGGCTCAATACCTCAGGGATCGAGGCCTACCTGCCACCCTCATC